AGAATTCATATAAAATTAGAATGTTGATACTCGCCCAGGAAAAATGAAACACCCTGTATATACAACAATATAATAAATTCGTTTAGACCCAAAACCAGTGCTGAATATCTCTCTTAGGTTTATAATAAAAACTAATAAAAAAAATCATTTATTTGGTATTTATTTCGGGATTGTTGTCCCGTGAAATCCACCACATAGCTTAAATAATTCGTCAACAAAGTTAAATCGACTGAGACTGCGGTATCCTACCGACTGCGCCGTACAAGTGGTCGTTAGATTAAATTGTCCCGAACCATAGTCTGCGATAACAAAAAAATGAGGCCGTTGACTCTACTGCCCCAAAGGGAACTTTTACGTGCCTTTTTTGATTGTCTCTTGTTTGTTAGGTCGTCAATAGTTTATTTTGCGCGGTTGCGCGAAAACCGTCGGAAAAAATATAAACAAAAACTACTCGAGTTTCAAGTAAACGTACTGTGCAAGACCTCCTCTTCGCGAACGAACAATGACGTAGAAGCAATAACCCGAGGATTACAAGTGCGGTGCGTCAACGTGACGACGTCATCCCTCGCCCCTCGCGCCGTACGAAACGTATGTAGGGCTTGTGAACTTTGACCTTTGACGTGCGGGCACACATCTACGGGTTTTACTTCAAAGCGTCCCTTCTCTTCGCGCCGTTACGTTGTAGCAAAATTGTACAATAAATCTTAGCGAGGTCGTAAAAGATAAAAATTTCTAAACAAAGTTAGGTTAGAATTTTCCATGGCATGTGCGGTATTGAGGACGCAATGTTTGGGTCTCTTATAAAACGTGCACGTTCACCATAGCATACAACATGGCACACCGTAGCAAAAGCCAAATCAAAGAACACCTTCTGTGTTGACGATAGAACGTGTTTTGCAATCTAGAAGGGATAACAGTGGTTTCAATGGGAAGAGAAAGCTTATAAGTTCATGATAATCACTGCTTTGACTAAAAGAAAACATTATGCGTAAAAATTTGAAACAGCAGTAAAATGAGAAGCCATTTTATATTGCTACCAAATCTGACAATTTCTAACCATAGGATATTCCATGGCGTCCACGGAAGTTAGTGTCACTTATAGCTTTTTATTTATATTATTTTTATTTTATATATTTATTTATTTATTTATTTATTTTTATTTATTTATTACAAAGGTGCCCTAACATGAAGAACTAACTTCACAATTTACAAGGACACACTAACAATTATACCATTATTTAATTAACAAAGTAAAACTTATAAGTAGGGACCTACCTATATCTACGATAAGCAGAAGATAAAAAAAAATAATAATAACAATCAAACTTACCAAACTAAACCAAAACTAACACTGTATATTAAGTGCGTGAATTACAAAAAATAAATGTGAAAAAATAAGGAAAACAAATCAAAAATTAAAATAAATTTATAGAAAAACCCTAATTGCTTGATTTCGAAACGAATTAAGTGATAACGCAAAGATGTCAATGTGCGAAAAATAATTATTATAATGTCTATGTAAAAGAGATATTGGGGAATTGTTACCTAAGTTTGTATTAAATCTAGGCACGTAAAATAATGAAGGAGTTCTTGTTATAACGACTCTGGCATTGAAGGATAGTTTTTCCAACAGTAAAGGACAGTCAATCCTACTATTAACAATATTATGCAAAAATATAGCACTGGAGATAATTCTTCTAACAGATAACTTCAGTATATGGTAGAAATTAAGACTAGCTTCATACGAATGAGTTAGTAAGTTACGGTTAAATCTAAAATTTAAATGGAAAACAAACTTTTTTTGTATTCTCTCGATTCTGTCTATATATTTATGATACTGAGGGCTCCATATCACACCGCCATAGTCAAGGTGAGATCGAACGTAGGAATTGTATAGAATAATAAGCGATTTGTGATCCTGAAATTCCTTGCTAACTCTTAATATAAAATCTAAATTTTTATAAGCTTTTTTTACTATATTCTCAATGTGGATATCAAAACTTAATTTTACATCTATAGTTATTCCAAGATCCCTAATCTGCTCTACTTTTTTTATTTTTACACCATTTAATGTGTAGTCAAAGTTTATATCATTTATCCGCCTGCTGAACTTAAGACAGTAACATTTATCAATATTTAAAAATAGACGATTTTTCACACAGTATTCATAAAAACGATCAAGATCTTCTTGAAACTTATGACAGTCATTAAGGCTTTTCACGGGCGCGTATGATTTCTGATCATCTGCGTATGATGCTGATTTAGCAAAAAGAAAACATTTACTGCCATCTGCGATAAACAGTGAAAATAACAATGGTCCCAAATGGGACCCTTGAGGAATTCCAGATGTGATGCGGGTCGTGTGGGATTTTGCAGAATTCAATTCTACAAACTGAGTCCGAGGACTGATGTAGGATTGAAGAATTTTATAAAGACATTTAAGATATTTAAGATATTTAAAGCACACCGAATAGCGCATGCCTAAATGAAACAAAGCAAAACCAATAAACTAACTTCTCTAGACGATAGAACATGCTTTACAATGTAGAAGGGTTCAAAGTAGTTCCAACTGAAAGCGCTCTGCAGATATAATAGATTATTATTAATTATAGATAAAGTGTTATAATGAACACTAACAAAACTACTTCCACAGTTTTGTGATTATTATTTTTATGCGTTTGACATTCGCCTGTACATTTCTTTTTTATTTGATTTTACTATTCTGCCACTGAAAATATGTTTGTAATTAATCCTTATAAATCCTCTTTAATCATATTTACAAATGATAATTATACCTAATATTAAAAGCAACGCAAAAACCTTTCTCAAACAAACTTCCACTACTACTGTATTACTATTTGCAAAACTCCTGGATTCCTCCCGCGTCGATTAAGTTTCAGTCCCAGTTAAGCTCTGAAGAAGCCAGCACGGTGATTGACGAAACGTCAGCAAGTTCGGCTCAACAACAACCAAGTAGAAAGTACCAAGAAGTTTTGTTAACAGAAAGTAAAAACCTCTCTATAAAGAATTCTGTTTGGCCTTTTTGTAGCAGTTGCAAAAGTTTGGCACTTGCTGTTCTCTGATAAAATTTAGAGAACACGTTAAAATTAAAGTCGTCACTGTCACTCACAAGATACTAAAAGGCTTCTTGCGTACCATCACAGTTTAATCATATATAGAGGAGTATCGAATTCAAAAAGTTCACAGCTCCTGTCTTAGACTGATATATGGAGATCTGATCTAAAATTTCACCATATCTGATTAGTTAAATATGCCAAATGACTTTCTTAGCCCTTTGCTACCAAATTTAATTCGGGATATAATTTTGTCAATGTCATTGTTATTAATGGTCAAGGCAATAAAGGTATTTATAATTTTTTCTACTCCCGTCTGTAAAATACCTCATTACCCACCGATCTAGGGTGCGGGAAGCGTCACTTTACCACGTCAGTTTTATTTCCCACGGATCCGAGCCACTTCGGACATTTCCGGGTTTGGGAGCAATCGGATGTTTCCGGAGACATTTCCCACGCTTTAAAGTAAATGTATTCTTGTTGTTTGGCGAAAATGGACCCAAAAACTAACGGTCGTAGAAAAAGTATAGTATGCAACACGTTCGGTAAACTTTTTAACTCACTCGTTTATTAAAAACTGGCTCCGCTGCGCTCCGCTCGTATCAAATAAACTCGTGAGTCAAATGCCGTTTACCGCACTTGTTGCATAATGTACTATTTTATTAATATTAAATCGCCCAGCGAGATTCGTTGGACATTACCTTTTTTCGTCCGTTAGAGATAGTTCCTCGCGTTCATTTGTCGGTGTCATTGAAACGTTCGCCTCCGTTTACAGTTTTAAATCTTTTTTCTACCCAATTAAACGCGTTTAATGGTGCCCGTTCCTAATAAGGCGTCGCGTATCGATCAGCCGCTCGGCAGCTCGCGATAAATTAGGCGTTTTTTAGTCACAGTTATCGGGATTTGCACATGTTTCGTTTATGTCATCGGCATTGATGTTCGCAAACCGCGACGGGAAACGTTTAGGAGTTAACTTTGGTCACCCGAGATCTTTGAAGTATAGGACCACAGCTTCAGCATTAGACAGACTGTTCATTGGTTGCAGGTTCCCGGCTATGTAATTCAAATAGTAATCAGTTTTGATCAATAAGAAACAATCATTGTGTTAGACTCAGTAGCTGATCTTGGTCATAAAAAAGAACACTTGGATCGTCGAGAACCTACGGGCTATCAGACATTTAATTCTTTTCTTATGATTTTTCCCATTCAATGCCTATTGTTACGCGGGTTCCGTATACTGAAAGTTGCATATTTTGGTCCTCATGAAAAGCCATTTACTTCCCATCTAAAGAAAATATAGTTTAAGACCCTCTACCGTTTGCTGTCGTGCAGTCGAATAGGCCAACGCGGCTGACCCGTTACTAAAATTGGATCAGAGGTAAACGACCAGCCTAGTTGTCCTCGTTGTAACTCGGATAACTAGAAATCGCTACAAACGCCACTCGTCCAGATCGATACATAACCGCGGGACTGATAAATTATACATCTGCAGCACCCCCGACGGTAGGATTTGATTTGATATTCGGGCCCACGGCCGAAGTTCTACGCCCGCATTACCGACTTTTCACCTCTTTTTTTTGCCGTTATTACCGAAATTTAAATTATGGCTTTTAGAGCGCGCACCAATTTGCAATGCAAAAGCGACAGTTTGCACCTCCACATTTGAATAATACTTGTACCAGCTGAACCTGCGTTTTTGAAATCCGTTTCCATTAACATCATCGCGAAGCTTTAATTAGACTCTATAGAATGGATCAAAAAGATCTGACACAGCGCGGAAGGCAACTTGAACTTTTGAACCTCTCTGCTGCAGTCGCATCGCAATGAGCTAGCGGATATATATCCATAAGGCACTTATTCAAGGAAAATAGATTCGTCGCTAGTTAATGTAGAACCGCGTGATTCTGATGCCGTTGTTTTTTCCAGACCCTACTCAGTTACGCGGCATCGAATGGATCTATTGACATATTAGAAATCATCCTTCAGCTGCAAGGATTAGACCCCAACAAACCAGACAACGAAGGGAACACTCCCCTGCACTTTGCTGCCCAGGCAGGTAAGGTTCTCTTTTTTTCCCGATTCAGTCTGGCTCTGAAAAAACGAGCTGATTGTGATTTCTTCGTGTGCAGGTCAGGTGGAATGCTTGAACTGCCTCGCCAGCAGGTGTAGGGGGGTGGACATCGATGCCAAGAACAATCTGGGCTTCACGCCCCTGATGAAGGCCGCCCTTCAAGGAAGAAATAAATGTGCCAAACTGTTGCTGTTCGCCGGTGAGTGTGCCTTCGCGCAACTTTGGCGGAAAATTCAAGTTGTCCGTTTGGGGGAAATTTAATTTCCTATCTGCGGGAGGCCGCATATCGGCACTCGAACATTGCCCGGTTTATATTTCTGACCTACTTAAACGGACAAAACCACAAACTAAACGGGAAGAACGCAGCAGTGGAAAACTAATTTATTGCCAAACAGTGGCGGCCGCACAGTTCACTTAACGCTACTTCCAAACGCTTAATTCTTACTAAGGTAAAATATCTCGCAGCTTTTGCTTCGCGCTGGTACCTAGCGTATCGGGAAATGATATCTGAAAGCTCACGACCAAATCCCCTCTCCTTCCCGACTCCTTTGGCGAGGGTAGTCCGTGACCTTTGACTCGCCTGATCGTTTCTGGCCTTACGACTTCGTCTGCGAAACTCAAATTGGTTTTACCGCCCTCCAATAGGGGTATCGACACGGTAGCCCCGCATAAAGCTTCTTTGAGGGTAATCTTAGCGACGTAGTGCAGGTCGTTGCCGTCGCGCTTGAACGTGTGGTGAGGTTTGTCGCGAATTACAAAGATCACGTCTGCGGGTATTCTGTTGGGACCTTGGTCGCCCTCCCTCGGGAAGGTTATTTTAGTACCGGCCTTCCATCCCGGCTTGACGTTAACAGTCAGCGTTTTGCCCTCCTTCCGCACCCTCCCGTCTGCCTTCAAAACGTTTCTAGTGATTTTCATTGTTTTGGTGCAACCTCTTAGCACTTCTTCCAAGCTCACGTAGAGATCGTATTCTATTGGGGGGTCCTGACGCCTCGTCGTCGTCCCGCTAACAGCGAAGAATGCGTTGGAGTCGTTGGTATCGAAACCGAAAAAATCGTCGAAAGGGTTCGCAGTGCCGAAGAACTGAGCGAAAGTGGCCCTGGGATCACCGTGGAACGTGTAGAAGGCGGTGTTACCTTGGAACCTGGGAGCTCCTCCTTTGAGACCTTCCTCGCCGTGCTGATCAAAAACTTCTCTCTTTCTCTTGTCGGATAGCACCTCGTAAGCTTCGGCGACGTCCTTGAACTTTTCCTCCGCTCCCGGCGATTTGTTCTTGTCCGGGTGGTACTTGAGGGCGAGTTTCCTGTACGCTTTTTTTATGTCGTCTTCGGTGGCGGTTCTGGGTACGCCCAGAATGGCGTAATAGTCTTTCGCCATCGTCCCGAACGGGAAAGACGTTGACTGAAATTGTGACACCTGCACTGGCACTGACTTTGACTGATCGAAACATTTCGAATGTTGCCGTTATAGGGGATGAAAATCACGAGACGGAATCCCACGCCCGAGTGACCGAATAAACAGAGCTCCGCGACTTTACGAAAAATCCTATCGCGAAATAAACTACCCCATCTCGTTCACGCTTTGTTTAACCCTCCGAGAGCCGGCAAGCGGGTGCAGCGAAGCGTCCCGGCGCCTCCGTCTCTCTCGATTCGACTTATTTCAACGATTCTTCGTTACCGCAAACAGTACCTCATTTTTTTCCAGGAGCGGACCCGACGCTGAGGGATAACGGCCGAGGGTTCAGAGCGGACCAATGGGCCCGCTTCTGCGGACGTTACGTATGCGCTGACGTCATCGAAAAACACGCTCGGCAACGTTTACTGGAACGCTCGACGTCGTACGGCAGCTGGGGCCTGGAGCACGACATGGGAGCTGCCGTGGTCATGGGAAAAGTCATCCCGATACCGCCGCCCGTAGCGCACTCTGCCTCCAACGGTAAGTCCATCCCGTGTTAAGCGCGAAATTGAAACATTAAACCGCCCTTAACGACGAAAGGCTTTTAGCCGCATTCTGCATTACGAGCAACGTCGTAAAGGTTAATATACTATGTGAGCCTACCGTTAAAGGGGATGGGACGAACATAATAAAGGGGCCGCAAACGATCTAGTTTACCCACTATTCAAAATGAAGCAGCTGGACACCCCATGCACGACGTGGAAAATTGGGGAATGCTTATTCAACTTTCGAGCTCTTCCGAACCTTTTTCGAATAACTTCCCAAATAGCACAAGGACGTCCGTAAAACATCCTCGGGATATCTGACGGGACATAGCGTATATCCTAAGGGACATCCTTAAAACGTCTCAAAGATATACGATGTTACTAATTGTAACGTCCACAGTAATCAGATACATATGTCCGTAGAATGTTTGTTAGGACTTACCAGTTATACAAGTTATACATTATTAGGTTATTTCCAACAGCCTACGAGAAATCTGGAAAGGTAATGCCAGTAGTTCAATTGGTTGTTTTCTATCCCAGTATTTGGTACTCGCGTGTGATGGAATTAATCTATTGGGTTGGTGAAGTCATCGCTGGAGTAGGAGGCGATATTTGAAATGCACAAGTTTTCTCCAATTAATATTTAATCTTTAGTTTTGCATTTGATGGTAAAAATGAAGGACTGCCGATTGATACAATTAATAAAACACATTTTGTACACATCCAATTTTGTTCTGTTATAGATATGAAAAAATTGTAGGTATATAATATAGCAAAAATATAAAACAACCTAACCTAAAGTATCTTAAAAATAGAGTAAGATACTATACCTTGAAAAAACTCTAAAAGAATAACTAATATTTGACAGGTTTTCTGTCATTCTATTGAATTCTCACATTCTTTTGATATTTATGATGTGTTTGCCTTCTTATCCGCATGTGAAAATATTTTACTATTGAGAAAGATAGGTTTTACATATCTTTACTTTATATAAAAAAATTAATAAAACAGATTTAAAAGATCCCTTTATTCATCTTTTAAGTAAAGGCTTGATCTATCGCTGATAGTACTCTCATGAAAGTGATCTTAGATGCTAATCTCTACGATGATTTAGGTATACATTTCATTAAATACAAACCTCATTAAACTCTCATTTTTTCTAGTTTTTTTGCCCTTGATGGTACCTTCTATCACCATGAAAACAAGCCTTCAGAAAGTAGGAAAAATGTTTTCATGAATTAACCCAAGAACCATTTTAATGTGAAAATTGTACTTTATGAAGGGTGATTCCTAAAATTAATACTTTGTTTTTGCGGGGTGATTCTTGCATCCATTTTAAGAAAAAAATATACTAACGATACTATATAACTAAAAATTATAATTTTGTTAAGGGGATTTTCTCTAACATTGCTTACTTAAATAAAAAAACTAGTTTAGTTTTCTTTACCTAAATTTAACTGCTCAAAAAACATGAAGAGAAAGTAGATTTTCTTTTTGTTTTCAAAAACTAAGCAATAAGATACAAAAAGAAATCTAGAAACAAAAAGATATGGAAACTAAAACGGATATAGGTTACAAAAAAGTCAGTTTTATTTTAACTCGGTCGAGCAATCACTCCTTAAAAAAAGTATCAACTAAGCAATCACCATAATAAATATTTTATTAAATTATATTTCTTATACTTTATTTATATTACATTTACGTCCTATTTATTTTTAAAAAACATAACACCTACCTACCAAGTATTAATTTGGACAATTTTAATTTCGAATATTTCTCCTTTTCCTTTATTGCAAGTTCATTTGAAATCAGCGGGCTCAGAGCTTGTTTTACAAACTCATAACTGCTGCCGCCGCCTGATCTTGCTATCTATCTCATTGGTTAGTTCAACTTCTAATTTATCAAATCTTATGTTATATATTACCATAAAGTTTTACTTACATGAATTATTAGTTCTTCAGTAATAATACCACAAAAAAATAACAGAAATGAAAGTACTGAAAGCAGTAAGCACAGCACACAAAATACTCAAAATAGACGCCAAGTCGCCGTATACCTTATACCACCAACAAAAATAAGGCTGAAAAGATGGCGGACGACGAGACGGAGAAAAAGCCGACGAGACTCGAACGAGTCCGGCACGACACGATGGCGAGTAGTTGCGTCATTGGTTGCAGCCGAACAGTGTTGTCAAATGGAATTTTATAAACCAATATATTATTTTTACGTTTTTGTAATTTTCTCACTTAGATGAATCCGTATTTTTGGGCAGTGCTTGTTCAACTTTCGAGCACTCCTGAACTTTTTTTGCAGAAATTAGTAGCTGTAAATTCTTCCCGAGGGTTCAATCTGATTCCTGTAAGCTTTTGTTCTCCAGTCGAATAGTTCTAAAAATTTTATTTTCATAATTGTTCCGATAGCTTTAAAAGCCTTCGTCGTAGATTGAGCACATACCCTTCTATATTGTAAACGAAGCTTTCCCCTTTGACATACAAAGTAGTGGATGGGTGAAACTGCTGTCATAACTTGCAAGGCATTTCGGAAGCAGTTCAATATGCTATAATTATTCTCATAACCAGTAGACTCTCTTAGACCGGTAAGCAACCGAGTAAACTACTCCTATAATCTGCATTTTATTGCCCATGTTCACATGACTGTAAAATTTCACTCCTAGGAAGGAGGTTTTGTTCTCTTTCACGTGTATCACTACGACTGGTTCTTCTTTCCTGCCGGGACCTTTCACCTTTGACCTTGTTGAAGTCGCGTTGGGATGGCCGTTTAATTTTCCATTTATGTTTTCTACGAGAAGTTGAGCCACGTCTCACCTTCACTCGATGTTTTACTCACTAGTAGTAGAATAGGTTCACCACCGGCCGGCATCAGATCCAAGTAGCATCGATGTTAGAGACTCTACTTTTTTTCCAGGTATAAAATCCAAACTAAGGAAAGTATTTCGCACGTCTTCCGGTCCAAGCGACACCTTCTCGAGTGCGCGGCTCGTGACGCAACTGACGTCGGCAGCGTTGTGCGCGAGCTCACCAGTGCTTCCATCGTCAGGTGCGGTACCGCCCGTCGTCAAGTCCCTCATACGTCCGTTGACGGTGCCGCGTCTGCAGATCACGCTGGCCAACAACAACGGCGACTACCCGAACCGTAACGTCGAAAGAGAAGAGGTGGTAGCGAGTGGCCATAAGGAGGTGGCCGACACCAGCCGCGCGGATTCGGAGCGGAACCAAGTGGTGCCTTCGGCAAAGCCAGCCCGGACGAAAAAGAGGAAATAGCATCAGTGCTACATATGTAGGTTCTATTAGATACGTATTTATACTATATTTGAGGGTGAGATTCGGCGGCGATGACTGAGCACGAGTACCGTCGGTCTCGGGCGAGGCGGTACTAGTTACCATTTACCGTATTTTTTTCTCGAAGTTGCCAGCCGTGACTCGGTGCGACGGAAGACGCGTGTGGTCGGGTCTTTATCCAGAAAATTATGTTAATCAAAGCCGCAATCAAAACAACCCTTCACGGGACAGCGGCCCGTAAATTGAATTAATTGCGGAGTTTGAGGGGGGTCTGCCCGCGTAATGGGGTGGCAGCTTTTTTTTTGCCGTGCCTATGGACCGACGGCGCTTGTTTTACGTTCGGGTTGCCGCATTGTTTTTACTAAACGTTTTACGTAATAAACTATTTACATATGAAAATATCCTTTTACATTTTCTAGAAGTGAACTTTTCATTGATGTCAATTACTTTAGGACCTAACCTAGCCGTACATGCGTTTCGGATTAGGCATTTCGTTCTTTTATTTTCTACGGATTAGAAGCGATAGGGTTTTTAGGTTAAGTTTAAAGTGACGTCATGAAGTAGTATAACGTTATGTATACAGGATGCCTGTCCTTTTGTGGACAACTCTTAGTGTTTGTAGCATTTTTTTGTCAAAAGTGACGGTTGCTGGACTAAATATGTCTATATATTTCTCCGACCAAAAGACTGAAAACTACCCAGAAAGATGAACATCCTCAAGCAACAGTGTTAAATGAATAATACAAAAATTTAAATATTTTTGAACTGTATCATAACAACAGCATTTTCTATATACTGTATTAATATAATAAACTATCTTCCTAATTCGTTTTTTTACTATTTCATATTAAAATAGCAATAATAAATAAAAATTATTTCAAAACTCACATGAAGTCAAAATAGTGACGTTTGTTTTTGATCATTCTTCATTTATTTATATATAAAATATCAACACATCCCCTATAAGGAAATCAACCCCATACACATAATAAAGGATTTTAGTCGGAGAAATATATTTAGACCTCTAAACGTCAATTTTGACATAAAATTCAAAATTTATCAGAAACGGCAAGATTTAGGTATAAGATATTATATACAAAATAAGTCTAAGAAAGTTGTTGTCCACGAAAAGGCATAAGTGGGAATCCGAACAACTTTTTGTTGTTTAATACTTTTTAGAAAAGGTCGCCAACAAATGATATGATGATGATTATTCATTATTTATTTATGTTTAAGCATTTTTAGTGCGAAGGTTTCAAATATGACGTCACATTAAGCTTATAGCGGAAGGACTACATATTTGAGCAAGCGTGTGATAAAAACAGAGCAAGTTCCTAGAGAAAAAAATGTATTTAAAAGCACCAGGGTTGAGAGGGGGATAAATTGTTTATATTTAAAGGAAAATAACGTAAAATAGGCCGAATTTGATCCATGGTGGTGCTAAATCGTAGCTGAGCTGGTTTCCTTTCGTCATCTATTTCCTTCTAGGCTTAAGGGCATTGTAAAGGACCAATACTGTATCGTCTTTAAAAACAATTGTATAAAAATATTAAAGCTGATGTACCCGTACATATTCTATAAAAGTTTGAAAGTGCAATATTAAGCGTTGATGTATTTTAATATGCGTTTAAAAATAAAGCCTACCACGTTCAATTAGCGAGTTGTTTTTCATACGACACGTCGTCCCGCGTACGTGTACATTTCTCCTCGTTTTCTATGTCAAGGTCACGGGAAACATGTCCCCGCCAAACGCGGATACCTACAGGTATACCTTTATCTATCGCGAACCTACTCCAAACGTACCCAAAAACTTTTCGTTTTCGTCATAGAATTCTATCGACCGAAATGTTACTTTCCGTAATGTGCGGCGACAAATTGGCGTCTCATTACCTTTGCCTGGATTATTACCAGGTCGGGACGCAGACAATCTGCGCGGAAGGATTTATGGTGTTATTAAGCCTATAACAATACCAATTATAATAACATAAATGCTTGTGAAGAAGTAGAAAAAAAAGCCTTAGACGACAAAGGATAGTACACAGGGTGACGTTTGTGGGAAATACTATAGGTATCGACTTTAGAATTAAAGTAAATTATTATTTATGAACTATCTTGAAAAAGACCTTACTCTTATACTAACCAAAAATGTCATACTCACGAACTAACCTAGTCTTCACTGTAATCTCCATTGGGCTTCAGAATGGCATCCTGTATTAAGAAATTAAATTATCAAATATTTTAGACTGATTTTAGCATTTCTCTCCTAGTACGTTTTATTTTTATTTATTAATTTGTATTTTTTCTCGAAAGCTTATTATATTTTAACCGTATTTCCAAATTGGAACACCAAGTATACAAAACAAATAGGCAACTTTTGTGTTACGTTTTTGTTTGTAAAAAGGGTAATAAATGTGCAAGCAAGGAAATACTAACATTAAAGAATTTAGTTTTTATAAAATATTTTATAGTTCACCTCCGATAATTTAATTTAAACGTGCCTTTAACGGTCATCACAAGTATACAACCCCATAGGGAAAATAATAAATAATAGTGCCCGATACATACTAAAACTAAAAAGACCGTTTGCCATTTGATCAAAGCGTTCGGATGCAGGCAATGTGAACTACAACCGTCGCATTAATTGTTAATGTAGGCACCTACTTTAGCAGCAAATAAATTGTCTAAGTAAAAAATTAATATATTATCAAAAATAGTGAAACGAATGTAAAAGAAAAATCATTAATTATAATAAAAGTATAAACATGTATAAGAAAAAATAACTAAATTAAAAGGTGATTTTCCTTACCATGTCCACATTTTCTACGATCATATTTTTATATCACAACCTCTATATCTACGACACACTACATTGTCAATGAAACGTATCCACATAGGGTCTTAGGAGTTAGGAAATGCCAATCAAATTTCATTTAAGTTGTTTGAAAATTGTTTAATCTTACGTCTATCCTTGGTCTAACCAAAATCATACCTTAGGCGTAGCAGCACCTGAATCTGTGGGTAATGAATGAAAAACTGAAACATTTCAGCTTAAACGAAGGCACCTAGAAAAACGGACATTGTTTCGTGCCTTAAATTTGACATTTATTATCTTTTTATCTGATTATATTTACTATTACTGAGTATATTTACTATGTTAATATCGCAGACCATAAAATCTTGCACGGAAGAAACAAATATACCTATGTCACAGCAAAACAGTTAAACAAATAGGTAAGGACGGTCGGTCTTCTTCTTCTTTACCATTTATTTAACGTTGGGCACGTCTACTAGGGATTGTCGGCTTCCGTCACAGACCGGAACTTGATGACTTAACATCACTATTTCCAACTTGAAATTTAACTGATTCTAAAAAAAGCCACTACTATCGGCGTCCATCTGGTGTGAATAACGAAAATGGAGGAACCGTGCGACACAAATACACTTAAGTACAAGGCTGACTACTAACTATTACAGCTTCAAACAGACTAATACCAAGTATTTTTAACCGATTATAAAAGATTCTATGGGGAGCGAACTAGGAATAACCTGCCCTATGTAATGCTCCCACAGAATCTAATCATAGATAAAAACAAGGAGGTAGAGATTTGCTATGTTTCTCCTTCTTCAGGTGCCTATTCGCTTCGAATGTCAGCGATCATTCTGGCTATGATGCCTTGTTCACGGCTGCTCTGAATAATTCAGTAGTGGTTTTGGAAAACCATGTTCTTAAATTCTTCAACTATGATATATTTCGTGTTCCAGGTCCTCTCTTACCGTAAACTTTTCCATGGAGTATTTCTTTGAGAAAATGGTACTTGCTGTTGTTTCGCATTATATGGCCTAGGTATTCAAGTTTTCTTCTCTTTATAGTGCTAATCACTTCCTTTTCCGTGTTCATCCTCTCCAGTACTGACTCATTTGATATCCTGTCAAGCCATGAGATGAATTCTTCTTTACAGCCACATGCTTTACAAATGCTTCCAGCCTTTTTTGTGTTGCCTCGGTCAGTCGACTCCACCCTGCAGAGGAGTATTGAGAAAACGTAGTATCTTAATAGTCTGATTTTGATGTTGAGGTCTAGATTGTGGCTTTTAAAAAGTTTTGATATTTCGATAAACGCTTGCCTTGCTTTCTCTATTCTGCAGTTAACCTCTTGAGAGTGATCCCATTGTTCATTAATTGTCGTTCCCAGATAAGTGAACTTAGGAACCCGTTCCACTGATCTCTCTCTAATGAACAGTTGACAGTTTTGGATATTTTATTTAGTTATTATCATGAACTTGGTTTTACTAATGTTCATATTGGTTACTAGCGTCGTTTATCCTGTTCATTAACTTTTGCAAGCTATCAGCGAACACCGCAGTGTCGTCTGCATATCGAATGTAATGAATATTTTTCAAGGCTGTAGCGAATATTTCCTCCGAGTACAAGTTGAAGATCAAAGGAGAAAGAATACATCCTTGTCTAACGCCACGTTGTATAGCAATGGCATTGATTTGCTTATCTGTATTAGACATTAAGATAGCTGTTTGATTCCAGTATAAGTTTCTTATGATTCTAATCCTTGTCTTCCATTCCAGTGTTCTTCAGTACTTGCATCATCGTCACGTGTTGTAGCTTATCAAACGCTTTCTCATAATCGATAAAGCAAACATGTACGAACATGATATGTTCACATCACGGCAACGCTGGAACAGCACTTGCAGACTAAACAGAGCATCTCTTGTACCAACTCCTTTCATAAAGCCAAACTGCGTTTCCGTTACTCTTTCTTCGCATATCCTGCATATTCTTTGGTGGATTATCTTAAGAAATAGTTTCAGCGAGTGACTCAACAAGCTGAGTAGTCTGCAGTCCCCACATGTTTTGGCTCCCCGTTTTTTTGGTGCCATTCAAAGATAAGCCATTCTATTGGGATGTTTCCCGTGTCATAGATATCGTTACAAATGTTCGTTAGTAGTTCTACAGATTTGTCATCAAGAAGTTTGAAAAATTCTGATTGTATTCCGTCTGGCCCTGCAGCGTTTCCTTCTTTCAAGTACTTAATGGCGTCCCTAGTTTCATCAGTTAGTATTTTAAGGCCAGTTTCTGCTTGGGAGGGTGGTGAGTCTCCTCTTTTATAGTGGAATAGATTTTTTATATATTTTTCCCATGTTTTTTTAATGTCTTTTCGGTCACACATCAATTTTCCGCTTTCGTTGAATCGCTTACCTACGGTTTTTTCTTATACATTCCACTTATTTCTTTAACTTTTTTGTGTACGTTGAATTCATCAAATTTACTTTGTAGCTTCTCAATTTCTTGACATTTTCCTTCTATTTCTTTTTGTTTCGTTTCTCTGATCTTTCTTTGTATTAATCTGTTGAGTTGTTAGTATTTTTAACACGCTTTTATCTAGTTCTGCGAATTCTTGGAAACTTAAACTGCAAGTCAAATAGCAAGTGCGTTGGACACTCTCCTCTTATTTACTCTACTTTATCCGTGCGGTTTGCCCTCGTCCCGAAATTTCTTTCACGAGTCAAACCTAACGGTAAAGCGGTCATCTTGGCCCACTTCCTCGCGCCTTCCTTAAGCCGATCCACAGTCTTCCGCAACGTTCAACGAACTCGACGCGCGCCAGAGTGCTCGGAAATGATTTACTTCGACGCCCGGTATCCGACTTCGCTACCCGACATCGTCGTTAAAACGTGCATTGTTTAAACTATTATCAGCGCTTTTATCTCGTCGTACGCGTTTTAACGTAAAATTTTAACGACGGACGAAAAATGGATTCCAAGTCGCGTCAGAAACAGAACGGTAAGGTGCGCGAACGACTTCAGAAGTTCGAAACGTCGGCGGCGAGAAACTTGTACCGCCTCCTAGCCGGCCTGTTCGGCTTCAAAGTGACGCCCGTGACGATGCCGTCCCCGAAACCGCCCGCCAGATCCCCTAACGGGACCGTCTCGACGTCGCAACGGGGGCGCAAGAGCGTGTTCTGGGCTTATTTCTGGTGGCTGTTCGGGGGATTGTTCGGGATGCACTTGTTTTACCTCGAAAGAGACGCACAAGCGTTTTTGACGTGGACTACCTTCGGCGGTTACGTGCTCGGATGGTTGGCCGACGTCACCAAGATCCCCAGGTACGTGAGGGAGTGCAACGAAGACCCACACACGATCGAGGAGCTGTTTTACCGCATGCGGATCAACAGAAAGGTATAGTTCGATTCGAATTATGCCGTCGACCTTAAGATATGGCTGTTAACCAACTACGTTGATTCGGCCTTATCGTTGACGTGAATATGACGAAAAAATGACGTGAAAATGTCACAAGCCCATTTACGTATATCAGGAGACGTAAAATAACGTCATATTAAAACGGAAATTTTACGTCATTCTTTGTTGTTGTATGACGCACTTTCCACGATCCTAATTAATGTAGTATGGAATCCAAAAAAGACGAATATTATGAAATTTTTATATAAAAACAAAACATTTTTCTAAAAAACAAAAAAAGATGTTATACATATTAAAAGAGCTGTGGAGGTCTACGTAAAATGCTCAAACGACCTTGCAAAGGAAGGATAAAACATTTACATTGTAATTTGTAGGCATCCCAAGAACAAAATTGTTGATATAAATTATCTAGACCACCTATATACAAATCAACTGAAGTTAACGGATAGGTAAACGCTTTCCCCGTCTTTAATTTCAATAATTTTATTGTCAATCTACCATACTTATCAACATCTCCTTTAAGGTGAATCAGAATATGAATGTTGTATATTAGAAACTGTGGCCCATATAAATGATTACAATGTTTTACAAAATTCTTTAATAAATTATGAGCCAATTCTGTACCAAATTTCGCTATAAGAATAGAAGATATAATTATTATAACAGCACAACTCACAAGCGGAAAATTCCCAATATCTTCTTATTTTGCTCTTTAATGTAATTGAATGATCTTAGAAGGCTGATTTATAGATCCATAAGTGTAATGGTTTTATTTCCTTGTTTACTGCTACTTGCATAAAATATAATACATGATTGGTAATGGACTGAACAGAATGATGGGTGGCCAAAAACAGTTAGATTTTCTAGGAGTCAACAAACTGTAATGGACTATAGATAAGTCGCCATCGTCGTCGTCTTTCTCAAATTCGATTCCTATGAAATCCATTTCTGCATAATTAATAAAGAATGTGCTTACTAAATTAACCTCGTAATAAACAACAAAAAAACAAATATGATACTGCAAAATACTCACATATATATGGAAATCACACTTCGACTATCTAAGTATCAACCGGAAATACGCTGTGTCCGTTCGACCGTTGGTTAGTCCGTATTGGTTGACGCAATTTGAAGAAACGGCACAAATAATTTATTAATTTTCTAGTTTCCAGTACATTTCTAAAGATTTGAAACCAAAAATAAAAAAGAAATAAATATCTCTTTGTGTAAATACAAAATATTACCGGATTTTCATAGTGAATTTTAAAATCGATGAATACCAATTGTAAACAATATAAAAAAAATATCAATAAACATTCGAGCATGTTATCTTATATATCTCAATCAGTTTACATATCAGAGAGATCTTATTTACTCAAAAAATAAATATACCGTTATATATATTATACATTTAGGATCATAGTGGTACGTTACATATACGTCCTATTAATGACGCCTACAGAACGTATATAATTCCAAGTCTTCGACGTCGATGACGAATAATTACCAATTATCGACGACTATACGACGTGATATTGTCAGCTGGGTAGGTTCCGACATTTTCCAAATGGCACAGGGACGGGTTGAAAATATTTATTAGTAAGGTACCAGAACTAAGCACTAACAAAGACTCTTTATTTTACATAGACCAGTTCTGTATTAGGAGAGAAATTCGCATTGTCAAGTTTTGTTTGCTGCAATACCAAAGCTGCATTTTAACACATAACACATAACCTCACTTTTTCGCGTCCGCGTGACTGCAATTTTTACGTTGCAACAAGTTGCTTTGATTTAAAGGTGCGACTTGCCGCCATTTGTAGTTGCTGCCATTTGTTGCAATGAGCGTATTTACCCGCTGATATTCTCCACAAATAACGACAAGGTTTAAGGAGCAATTCCACAAATAATTAAATAACCAAAAATGACTTGATCTTATGAAGATGACGAAATTAAATTACCTTTACATTAGTCCAAATGCTATCAACGTAAACTTTCAGTGGGCAATAAAGAAGGTTATACTTACGGACCAATTAAGTGGTAATTTTCGTTGCCAACTGAAAATTTACGTTGGTGTGATTGATGCTGGGTTATAATTAGGTAAGTTCTAGCAAATTGGTGTAAATTCCCATGCAACGAATTGCAGGCAGCAAGTATCACTGTGAAATTGCAGCAATGTCAAAATCGGCCTTTAGAATCGCGAAAAAGTGAGGTTATGTGTGTCTACTAGATATTTACTGATCCAGTAAATTGAAAATAATATATATTTTTATTTAAAACCATTTATTGAACCATTCCTAGATGGTATATACCTCATTTATATTGTAAGCGTTTTAAGAGTTCTGTACGCGCCACAATTAAAAATTGCGAAAAAAGTTATCAAAATGTTTACAAATTTTGTCTATAAAAAATATCAGGATAGTCAAAGGATTTTCTGAAAATAATATATATTTAAAAAAAATGAACATTTGCTATTCAATTTCGAAGTAACATTTACTCTGTACAATATAATATTCAATATTATAAATAATCAAGATATTATAATACCTAACGTATCACTTCAAGAATAAAGAAATGAATTATCAGGAACGTCCGATGATAAGATGGAACTAAATTTTCTTTCAATGGCGCCTGCGTACGAGAACCATTTGCGGCATTCAAAGACAAGTTTAGCAACTAAAGTTCTTAACTACTTATAGAAAAATCGAAAAATTTATTTCAAATTTCATTATTCTGATATGCACATACAGGCTTTAATACTTAAATCAAATAACTTTTCATCATTTGACACAACCGATTATAACTTACAAAAAATCCTTAAAAAGTAGCGCCAAAAATATATTTCCTTCCAAGAAATTACAGTTATATATGTTATTATAAATCTCTCTCACCTTCCGTAGCCTCCCTTTTCCGCCAGCCGTTTCATTTCCGCCCTGATGATAGCCTACCTTTGGGCCCAGTTGATAATGTGGGCGATCCCGGAGGACGAGGTGGCCGGAGTCAACTGGAACACTTACTTTCACTGGTTCATACCTCTCGGCTGTGCTCTAGGTATTCCCCACTACCCCTTGCACTGCTTAGTTCAATAACGCATCGAATTTCTGCTCGTGTACAGGCGTTTGGACAGTGGGCAACATCGGTAGCGAGAGAGGCGCCCCCTGGACGACCATAGCGGTATCTTACGTCAGTTATCTCACCAGATGGTATTATTTCGACGAGAATATATGGCTGACGATAATGACGTTCAGCGCAGCCTTAGTCTTCGACGGGTTTTCCAAACAGTGGAAAATAAAAAAGCCCAAGAGAAAACCGCTGTGGAAGAGAGTAGCAGTAGTAGGGCTTTGTGGAATGCTCTACTGTGCACTATGGGCTTCCTACGTGTACTTTAATTGCAAGATCACCGATTCTAACGGTGATGAAGTACCCGTCCATCAAGCTATCCATCATTTTTTTACCTCACCTTGGTGGACGGATTTGAAACAGTCGCTGTACGACACCTACCAGTACGCTCAACATCACGGCTGGTAAGTAAACTAACCAAAACTTTAACTGTTTTCTGTGTAATAGTCTGTTTATTGCCAGGTACGAAATCTATCTGCAAATCATAGACTTGTCGGATCCTCAAGGCGAGCAGAACGCTTATAAAGTTTTGGGGGTGAGTCCGACAGCGAGTCAAAATGAAATCACCGCTAGGTGGCGCAGTTTGAGTAGAGAATTTCACCCCGACAAAGTCAAAGACCCAGAAAAGCAGCGGGCGGCTCAAGAGAAGTTCATGGAGATTCAGCAAGCTTACGAGATCTTGTCCAATATCAAGAACAAACGCAAAAAACGGAACAAGAAGTCGGCTAATGAAAACGAACACGAACTTTGAATTGTGACGGTGCTTGAGAAGACTCGAGTACAGCGTGTAATATATTTACGTTCTATATAGCGGTTATTTTAATATTAAACTAGTTTTATGGAATGCGAAGTTTTATTAATTTACTTTCTACAGATTACGTTCCCTCCTTTTGGTCATTGTTCTATGGGCTATACTGACCAATATACTACTTTGACCCGCTGTCTGTACAGTAATGTTGCCATCATGTTGTCCTAGGTTGTATTAACTGAAGAATATTTTTCATAGTAAAGCGGTTATACCCTTTATATTAGTTACACTTGGTATGCTACACATAAACAATAAACAAATGCTTCTCCTCAAATCATATAATTAGGGCAATCATTTAAGCGAATGTAATACATTAAATCAATACCTACAAATCCCTAACCTTTGAAAAACCGGCAACGTCGCTCAGCGCTTAAATTTGACAATTGCCAGTGACCTGTCAATATAAAAATTCATAGCGGTTTTCATCGAGTTGTTTACATTCGGGTGGGATTAGATACATTTCGTAATAAATACAGTCTCCCCATGCGTATTGAGTGAATTGAAAATGGCACAAAGTACCACCAGCGGTACGTCTTCAAGACGGCACGTTCGTGACCACGACACAGCATCCGTAGCATCTTCCAGGATCGCGGATGTTGCTGAATGGGAGGCGAACGAGGTAGGAGGTTGCTTTTTGTATCACTTACTCAGTAATCCATTGGACAATGACCCACTTAAATTTGTTTTTTTTTCATAAGTCTATAGAAATTTTAAATCTCAGGCTTTGCGGCAGCGCGAGCTTGAAGAGGCTAAGGGCCGAGCCGCCCAAATGGAAAAAACGATGCGGTGGTGGTCAGATTGTACCGCCAATTGGCGAGAAAAATGGAGTAAAGTGCGAAATGAACGAAACAAGGCTCGGGAAGAGTGTAAACAGTTACGGACAAAACTGGAATCTTCAGTGAAAGAGAATTGTACATACAAACGAGAAAAGGAGGAATTGGAACTTCAAAATGACCAACTAAAGAAGGAAATTGAAAAAATCCATTTGCTTCTGCTGAAACATGCTGGTCAATTTGACAGTCAGATTTTTGAGGCTTTGGGCGAGGATCCATTGAGGGATTTTGCGTTTAGTAACACGTCGCCGCCGGCTGATAGAGAAAATGGGGTGTCTTCCTCTCAATCGAATCCTGAGTGTGATAGCACTGGCCCAACGGATTCAACTTTCGGTCAAGACTCTGCTTCTAAGTCTGAAAATAAACATGTTCAAAACTGTGATAAGGAAAACGCTATCGAGGAAGAGTATGTAATACAGAAGATTTCCATGCTTCAGCATCGGTTAGATGAGGCATCCAAGACGATTCAGATTGAGAGAGAGTAAGTATCCATTTTTTGAGTGTTTTTACTAACCTAATTTTTTTGTTTTGATTTTTGATCAATATTTCGCCATAAAGAGTTCCACCTTTTTCGTTTCGAGCTTGATTTTCCGCAAGGAATTGATAAATTTAAACCAATAAAACTACATATCCCCATTCGAAATTTCTGGAAACAATGACGTCATTGTTGACAGTGCGTGTGTTGCCGATTGACCGACCTTTATGAAAACCGACCCTTGTTATTTGTGCTTGTGGTCAGTGTATTAATGTTTATGCTTTCTGTGGTTTCCCCAGGAAGTTCAATTTTTTTGCGTAAATTAGGTTGTCTTATTGGAAATATGTAACTTCATCCACCATACTATTTTTTGTTGTACGAGTTAATGTATCAGTCCCTGAAAGGAAAAGTTATGTAGGTTTTGTAATCCATATTCACTCTGGTCCTGCTCCGATTCTGATTGGCCGGCACGGACGTCTAGATCTTTGTCGTTTAATTGGTGTCACCCATTTCCACTAAAATTGAGTCCATTTGGTATTAAAAGAGTTGTGTAAGTGACAGCGATTTGCGTTCAAGGTGCGTATAAATATATTAAGAAAGACAAGGGCTGTTTTTGTATAGGGTTAACTTATAATTTGAAGGTTAACTTTAATTATTGTCAGTTTTCGGGGTGTTTTTATTGCCGATCTCGATATAGCATTTAGTAAATAATATAACAAATAACTTGGACGCCATCGTTTTTATACTCTTTCTGCACTCATAAGTTTGGCCATTAAGGGTATATATAATATATCATAATATATCCCGTGTGGCGTAAAATAATGAAGTAAGGAAAATTTGGTAATGTTAAGTTTGTTTTCTGTTCTAGATATGGATTTAAAATCAGTGTTTAGGGTCTTTTCGGTAATATTTTTATGATTTTTATTTGTTTTACGTCTTTTTATAGTGTCTTAAAGATTTTTTTGTTGTTAGCAAGTTTTAGAAAGTCACATTTGTCAAATAACCATCACTTTTGTTGAGCCTTTTGAACTGCACCGTTGCGTTTGTCGATTACTGGTATCTAATATATCCTTGGTGGTGTAAGATACCGTTTTGTGTTGAAAATTTCGATTTATAGTTATAGTTTTCTGGGTTAGTAGTTGATCTAGTCCTAGTCCCAGTTTTCAATCTGCGACCGAATAGATTGAAAAAAAAAGGGTTTGGGTTCTTTTGCGGTAATATTTTTGTAATTTTTATTCGCTTTAAGTGCTTGCTTCAAGTTTTGTATCGTTTTTTTATAGATCTACTATAATAGACAGAGATGAAGATATCTTTTTGCTTTATTAATTATGACTTCATGGGTTTCTTTATTTTCCAATTGATTTTTTTTTGAGATTGTACAAATTTTGAGTTCCTTGTTGTTTGTTAAATTAAAATTTACAAAAATAACAGTTCCCCCCGTCCGAGTTAAAGGGTGAGAAGCCGTCAAGAAAACTGTTCTAAATTTGTAAATTCGTTTTGGTTGTTATACTACCACAATTTTGTATTTTTTTGTTAGGTTTTTTTTTCAATCAATCCACTAATTTCCATCAGCTTCAAACCACGATATTTACAGAGCCCCTAGAAGTTTGAGGAAAATGATTGGAAATAGTTTTGATTGAAAGTGGTCATATAAAGGTTCCAGATAGCCCCCCATATAACATTGTTCGCATATTTCATCTGCCATCTTCTCTATTTTATGTTCGGTACCCAAAATGACTCGTTTTAGGGAAAAACTCTCATTGCACCGAACTATCGAGCGGCTGACGGGAGAGCTGCAGGAAACGAAAGAAAAATGCGACGAACTGCGCGAGGCCAAGCAGGAGGCGATGCGGGAGCTGCTTTCGTTGCAGGACGACCACGAGAAAGAGATCCAGGTGATCAAATCGGACCTTCTCGACGAGGCGAGCTCGCGCGAAGGCATGGACAAGAAACTGAACGATCTGAGGACGGAGGTGAGTTTGTTCGCGCGTGCCCGTCCCTTCCAATCCTGAGGGTGGTTTCCGTTGAAGCTGGAAAGGCTGCAGGCGGAGAACGCGGCCGAGTGGGGCAAACGGGAACGCCTGGAGACGGAAAAACTCGCGCTAGAGCGGGACAACAAAAAATTGCGCAACGAGTTGCGGGACATGCAGGAGCGTATGGAACGCAAGGGCAGCAGGCAGCTGAGCGGGTCGGACGCCGAGTTTCGACACCTTCAGCAGGAATTGGGCGACAGGAATAAGGTAATCCCCGAAAGCCTTTTAAAAGTGATTGCCGTATTTGGCCAAATGTTCATTTGTCCAAATCGTATCGGGGCGTTTGTGGCAGCGCGAAGTAGGAGGCCGGCAAAGCTTTTCCGTGGAGAAAGAATTTTTTTCGATAGAGATTAATTATGATTTGTTTGCATTTCAATGTTTTTAAAATACTTCTGATAATATCTACATTGACTCAGCTTAAAAGATTCAGTTGCATTTTAATTAATTAAAAGGCCAGAACTATTATAAATGTGTTTATTTAAAGGTTCACATTTATTTTAAATAAATAATTGCGGTCATAGTAAAATTGTATTTAGGTACCTTTTACTCGGAAAATTGTATACGGCGATTATCACGAATCATGAAAGGTTAATAAAAACGTGTGTCCAATTGTTCCCACAGCTAAAATTATTGATGATTTTTAAATTTGTTCAATAAGCAAGATGATTTATCAATATCTATTTTGAGGATATGGTTGTCAATTAAAACATTTTGGATTATGCGAAAAATTAACCAGCTACCTACCCAAGAATCAAATAGTGAAAGTTACCTAGGTAGTTATCAGGATAAAAAGTATGAAGAAAATAAATTTCATTAAAATTTTACAAAAGAACAGCGCCCATTACTTAAAGATACCCATTTTAAAAGGTCAAATTGTAAAATAAAAACCCCTTAGGCGCCAATGAAATACCTACCTACACCTTCATAATATGTTCAATAGAAGATGTAGGTTGTTATTTATATCATGTTCAATAAACTATACTTTATTTTGTAAACTGTTAATTTTATTTTGTTTGTAAGTACACTGTATAGTGGAAGCCACCTATAGAGATAATTAACCAAAGTAAAATAATTTAACTGCATTTGATAAATTAATTTGCTGTCTGAGCCGTTTTTACACTTGTATTTTAACCTTTCTCTTTATTTGGACAAATGTTTCTGCCGCTTTCGGGTGTTCGCCGCCGGTGCCTCGTGTTATTTGGACAAATGCACATTATATAAGGTTGTTCGGAAAGTCATTTCGTTTTTTCCCGTCAGAGGACTTAATTACGTTTTTTCGAAACCAACTTCACACTTAAGCCGCATAACCATTATACGTCTTGAGAGCTGATATTGCAAGGCTTGTGTGTGAAAAAGTTCTATTAATTCTACGCAGTAGTTTTTGGTTGGTGCCCTTTTAAATATGGAGAGCAATAAGCAGCATTTTCGTCATATTTTACTTTTTTACTTCAGAAAAGGTAAAAATGCTGTCCAAGCGAGAAAAAAATTGACGGACGTGTATGGAGAAGGCGTGTTAACAGTACGCCAGTGCCAGAACTGATTTGCAAAATTTCGATCCGGCAATTTTGATGTCGAAGATGCACCACAGTCTGGAAGGCCGGTCGAAGCTGACAAAGATGCGATAAAGGCATTAGTTGATGCAAATCGGCGAATAACCACACGAGAGATAGGTGAGAGATTAAATTTGTCGAATTCGACTGTTTATGGGCATTTGAAAGGCATGGGCTTAACCTCGAAGCTCGATGTGTGGGTGCCCCATGTCCTTACGGAGCGAAATTTGTGTCGTCGCGTTGACGTGTGTGATTCGCTCCTCAAACGTCAAGAAAATGACCCATTTTTGAAGCGGATTATTACTGGGGACGAAAAATGGGTTGTATACAACAATGTTAAACGCAAGAGGTCATGGAGCAGAAAAGATGAACCGGCTCAAAGCATGTCAAAAGCCAACATTCACCAAAAAAAGGCGATGCTCTCCGTTTGGTGGGATGTCAAAGGAATCGTTTTTTTTGAGCTTTTGCTGGTCAATACAACGATTAATTCAGAAGTCTATTGTCATCAACTGGACAAATTGAATGATTCACTTAAAGAGAAGAGGCCCGAATTAATCAACAGGAAGGGTGTAGTGTTCCACCAGGATAATGCGAGACCACACAAGTTTGGTCACTCGCCAAAAACTTTTACAGCTTGAATGGGACGTACTGCAACATCCACCATATTCTCCAGATCTGGCGCCTTCCGACTACTATTTGTTCCGGTCCCTGCAAAATTTTTTGGATGGCAAAACCTTTACCTCAAATGAAGATGTCAAAAACCACCTGAACCAGTTTTTTGCCAGCAAGGATCAAAACTTTTATGGGAGGGGAATTATGTTACTGCCAGAAAGATGGCAAAAAGTGTTGGACCAGAATGGCCAATATATAATTTAATAAAATATTTATTCATTATACGAAAACTGTCTTTCATGTTCCCCAAAAAAACGAAATGACTTTCCGAACAACCCAATAGCATTTGTGGTTTTCCCCTTTTAAAATATCTAAAAATCAATTGAAACTCCTGAAATCTACATATTTATCGGATATCGTTAATAAATGACGAAATCCTTTTGAAAAATCTCGAAATAGCTTTAGTTAGTTTCTAAATGCTTTGGAAATCTCCAAATAGATTCGAAATCTTCAATTCATATTCGAAATGATTTTAAGTCTAAGGAAATTCTTCCTAAGTCCTGTAATTTGATGAAAGTCGATCGGAATCCCGAAATTTATTGGAAAATGATTCATAAACCGGAAGTTCATTACGAATTAGTTTCGCAATCTCTGAAAGTAGTTTGAAACTGCTTCCGAATTTATGTAATTTATTGAAAATAGATTTAAAAACTCCAAGTATTTTTAAATCCCAGGAAATTTTTCTTAATCTCATAATTAATTGAAATTTGATTCGAAGTGAAATTGTCGAAAATCCCTGAATCTTACCGAAAACGCTTTTGACATGAGAATTTTTTCGAAATTGAAATGGGCAGGTTCATGTCTCGTAGTCGAAGTTCCGAAATACTTTCGAAATCCTGAAATCACCCAAAAACTGTCGAAATTCGCATGAGTATGGGTGATAAAGAGAAACTTTAAAAGCAAAAGTTTCAGGATCTTTTAATTAATTTATTTGTTTTTTCCTTTTTTGTTTTGATTCGATCGGAGTTGTTTTGTATCACCCACATCGGCCGACGAGAAGAGCGTAGCGACGTGCTCGATTTTGCAGGAATTGTCGGAACTGAAGCATTCGTACTGCAAAAGCAAAAAGTTGCTGCAGGATAAGGCTACAGAGCTCGCGCACGCGACACGCCGCGCCGAGCAGTACGAGTCTGAGGTGAAGAAACTGCGGGCGCGCGTCGAAGAGCTGAAGAAGGACCTCGCCGTGGCCGAGGACGAGCTGGACACGGCGACGAACCACGCAAGGAAGCTGCAACGCACCAATGACGAGCTGCAGGAGCAGGTCGACAGTTTTCAGGTGCAGCTGCAGCATTTGCACACGAGGTAAGAGTTACTCGCGACATTAATCGAGATCGCGCTCTATTTTTTTCCCATGCTTGCGGGCTTCCTAATATACTGTACGCCATTTTTGTATTTTAAACGCGGCCCTGTAGTATGGAGAAGGAGGACGGTGGCGAGGAAATGGCCGTCTACGATGACGAGAACGAATGCGTAAGTGCGCTTGCGTTTTGCACGGTGTGTGTTTCGTGGTATCCCGCAGGGCTCCGTGTTGGGGCCCTTGAACCTTAACGTTTATGCGTGGCGGAATATAACTGCTTGGAAACCAAAACAAAAACGAAAAAGAAAAAGTAGATATTTTTCCAGCTTGTTAAATGTGTCGTGGCATTGTGTTTTTTTTTTCAATAATTTTTTTAAGTTTGCTTTGGTAAGTATAATATACGAATTTTCTGAAACTTCTTTTTTTTTTGTTTTTTGTTTTGTACTAGTTCATTTTGTTTCTTATAGATAGACTGGGTAATTTGCTTTTTTATACTAACAATTAAATGTTAATAATTTTGGCATGGATTAGTTTTTTTTGGTACCTCGATTTTGTTCTGTGAGGTTACGTTTCATGATTCGTTATAAAGCTAGAATATAAAAATTGCCAAACAATGGTATCAGTATTTAGTCTCCCTATGAATTTCAAAACGATTTTTATGGTATTAGTCAATTTTTTCTGTTTTTTAAATTTTCTCTTTACGTTTTCTTTACTACCCATTTGTGCTGTTTGTTTCACTTTTTTGTGCAATTTTCAAGGCTTTCCTCGTTTTGCCAATAAAAAAGTAGTTCTCCGTTTTGAAATTTCTCTAAAAAGAAAATTATTAATGTTAATAAATAATTATCAAAAAATTGCGATAATCGTTTCTGTGAGTGTTTTCTTTTTTGTTTCTTGTTCTAATTTTTCTATAACCTGCTTAATTTCGTGTGTTCTACAAACAGTAAACTTTTAGAAATGTTCCTAAGAATGTTTCCTATTCATTTATTTTTTCTGTTATTTTCTTTCTTTAAAATTGCTTCTTGTCTCTATTGTCGACGACATTTTCCATATTTTTGGGGGAAAGATTTTCTAAATTTTATTTTATTAGTTTTACTTTATTATGAATTATGTTCTCGCGTATTTTTTTTTTTTAAATAAATACGTTTGCCTGCTTCCGCTTAACAAATGGGATTCGTTGGGTGTTGTAAAAAGAAAGTTGCTTAACAATAATTGCCTGTAGGCTTAACCGTCCACTTAACCCCGTAATGTATTAGATCTCACTACTTTTATTTGCGAAAATAATTTTTGGTGTTTTTTACCACTATCGTGTTTACCAGTTTTTTTGAAAAACACCGAAAAATATTGCAGATTGCGTAACTGCAGCTCCTCCGGTTTGCTCGTCCATCACGGAGGCAGCATCGCCGCACCCGACCGGGGCAGCGACGACGATCCCAACGATTTCTCGTAACGCCGCCCCCACCCCTCTCCGTTGCAAGTTAATTTATTCGCGTACCTTTGTTTTACGGACGCCATTGCGGCGCCCTTTTTATGTACAAATCCGATACTCAGAGGTTTATATTTTTTTATATCGTCGCGTTAACTTTGGTGTGGTCGTGTTGTTTGGTGTCTTCGTGCGAACGAGTTGTTTGAGTACGCGGAATCAGCGAACTCTTAAACTTTAACGGCAACAGCGTGATAGAAAAGCGAGGCAAATTTTACGATAAAAAAGACGGCTAGTAAGGATTGTCTTGCTCGTTTGTATAAACAGGAGAATGCGATGTTCTTATTGTTTATTATTATTATTTGGCAAAAGTACATATCCAAGAACAACCAATAGTCAAGGTTACGTATTAATATGAGCTACACTTGTTTCGTCCACACGGACACCATCAGACGTATAAAACGTCAACTCAAACGCACCCCGATACAATAAATTCCAATTCCAATAATTTTCCAATTTTAGAAAAGGTTTCTTTGAATTCTTATTTCTGTGAAACCAGGTCTATTCCAGTGCGAGCAACTTGTTTTATTTTATAATTTGGTGGTTAAATCATTCTTTCTTTGTATAATATAAAATTTATAGTAATCTTACATATTAAAGACCCTTCAGAAAAACCCCATACAAGTTGATATACAAATAATATATACAGATACGTAAATTCCAATTCAAAACACACAATTGGTTATAAAAGACCAGTATATATTGAAAATTATCATTAAAAAAAAACTTAAGGTGGACATATTTTTTCCTAAGACCTCAGACCTTGCAGATGCCTTAAAAATTTTAGAACTGGAATGATGCATTTGTGATGAAATCCGCCATATGCAGCACAACAGTTAATATATCACAGTGAGTTACTTTGAAGCAAGACAAACTACCCAAAAAATCCGAAACAAGTAGAAAATTTCGGGAATAATATGAATAATCTCTTATCAGAGTTGTCTGTCATTAATGTTAATGTGTATCACAAAGACAACTATCCCCATTATTATCCGTCCCACTCTAAATAAAATTTGCCTCATTGCTGCGTTGCCAGAATAATTTCATTATTCATAATTTCTTTTCCTAAAGTTTGCAGCGGCGGTTGTAGTTTTTTTCGGTCCTTGTTTATAAAAACTCTGTGTTAAAGAGTTTACCAATTTACCAATTCGTTGAATTTTGTGATTTTCCATGCATGTTTTTTATACATACCCGTGTTTTGTTAAGTTGAAATCTCCGCTCTTTGAAATAGAAGAAAAAGGTTCTATCTGTTGTAACTTTTTGTTTTTGTTTATAATTATTTTGTGCATTGTACTTAATAGGTGTATTGTTTTAGCATTCTTGAAGTATTCTGTCGTCTTCGGTATTTAAACTAAATGACAGTTTCTGTTCCCTGTTTCCTTTCGTTTTTTCCCCTCTCCTTTCTTATGCCGTTCTTCATTTTTTAAAAATTATCTTAATATGTTAAATCAAAGGAAGTACCTTTTAAGGTAATAATTTAATAGGTAACATTTAGATTTCTTGGTAACTTTAAAACCAATACCAATAAAAAACAATCCTTCCCCACTAACCTTGAAACGAGGTTGACGGTTCTCAATCTAGAGTTTTCCTTTTCCTTCACCCTCTTACGTTAAAATTTTTGAAACTGTACACAGTATATTATCTAAACTTTTATTAAACTAAACATTACATCGCCTCACGTCAGACACATGCGTACGCACAAACTGGCCGCTGCAAGTCGTAAATTCGTTTTTCATACAAAAAAAAAACAATTATATTGTTAACGTATAGATAATACGTGCCTTATTTTAATTTCCGATCCTTTTTCGGCTAAATGGCACTGGGTGCTGAACTCTCTTTCGAAAAATCTCATTTAAATATATAGGTATAACGTATACATGCATACTGGTGTATAGTCAGAGGAATTGGATGTTACCACAAATAAAAGTCTAATTATTTGGAACGCCTTTCGACTCGACCCCATCGACTAATACCCGCACTCGCGCCCCCGCGCCCCACGGTATCAGCAGCTGACGAAGCTCCCGTCCGGGTTCGTTTTCCTCACCGGGAAGCAGGTCTTCTTGCCATCTGCGAACACGCATGTGTTGGTGAACATTCCGCAAGACGACGACTGGCTGTAGTATACGTTCGGCGTTTTCTTGCCAGTGTTCAAATTCTTTGAGCCCGCTTCCGATTTCGAAACCGATACGAAATTCGGCAACGCGTTTCCGCTCTTGAGCCGGTACTGCACCGGTCGGTAAACCGGTTGATACGTGTAACCAGCCCCGTAGTGTCCGTTTCTGTACAACGTCTTGGACGCTACCGCGTAGACCGGTTTCCTGTAGATTATCCGACCGCTTCCCGGTGAAAGAGTGACGCTCTGCGCCTGCGAGTTAGTGCCGACAGCGTAGGTATTGGCGCCGTTCGCAATCGATTTCACTTTGCCCCGGAATCCGGCGGGAATTTGGTATCCCGGCGAACCCGGTATCGTTTGACCCGGCTGCAAGACCGCTCCGTCCTCCGGATAGACCCCTGCGCTTTGGTGTACCGTCGCGTCCAAGTTTTCCAACGGATCGAGAACGATGTGTTGCTTCTGGCCGGGCGACGTCTGCGACACCACCTTGGGCGATACCAGGTTGCGTTTCGACGGTCCCGCCACCCCAGCATCTTCCTCCTCCTCGTCTTCGTCGTTGTAGTCTGCGTATTCGTCCTCTTCGTAATCCGCCGGCGGAGACGTAGAGGTCGCTTTCTCTTCGACTGACTTCGTTTGGGGCTCGGGAGGTAGAGTCGGTAGCTGGTCCAAATTTGTAACCTAGAAACGACGAACTTTTAGACCTTGGGCACCTTGTTGATGGAGGCTTGATAAATTGACTGAGGATCCTAAAACGCAAAGAGGGCGTGAAATGATGTATGCCAAGAAACAATATCGCATCTCGCACAATCAATACCGGCGTTTTTGAAACGGCGAATGCTAGTGATTCATTGTTGATGGTTAACAGAAATTTGGTTACCTGTTTGGAACCTGTAATTGAACGAAACGGTGAACTAAAGTGAACAGGCTTTAGACATCATCAGTGGGGGTATTAGCATCAATGGAATCCTCGTCAATAATCTCATACTTGGAAGAAACACAAGAAGACTCGCAGACTTTGTTCTCGCCGTTATTAACCATATGGCTTTGAAATGACCATAAATAAAACCCAATTGTAAATGAAGGGGATGTAGGCCGTTCATACATAGAAATACTTGGCACAATAATCTGCAACGACTGAAGGCAAGACATTCAAATTTAGTGGAGCATTTGTCTTTTAAAAAAATGAAATTATTTATCCATAATTTCGGCTGGTACATCGAATTCAGAAAGCGTATTCTCAAATATAAACGAGTCCAAAGGAATTACTGCCTTCTATTTACAAATAATCTGGATTCCTCCTGCGTCGGTTTTTGCTTAGTCGAAATTGCTGACGTTTCGTCAATCATGCTGTTTGCTTCTTCGGAGCTTAACTAAAACTGTCTCGCATTCTATTCCGTTCCTACTTATATATTGTTTAGCTATTTGAATAGTATTACAGTAGTGAAATTTGAGTTGTGAGAATATCGCCGCATGTTACGAATATCGAGAAGGCACTGCGCAGAAAGGATACGAATTATTTCAGAGTCTGGGCGTAGAAGTTAGTTCTGGTGAAGTATATCTAAGAACAAAGTTAAAATTGCCTTATTAGTTGTCAACCTTCGTAAAGAAGAACCCTACTCACTTGTCGTTGATGGTCGACATAAACTTGCTAAGCTGGTTCGAATTAAATCAAACTGTAAACCCTAGTGATGATCGACACCAAATGTCGAAGGATTATTTGAAAGATTATTGGAACACACTTACCTCTTTGCTGGTTTCCGCCAGAGTCAAATCCGGTTCTGCAGGCGCCGGAGCCGCTGCGATCGCCGTCTTCTGACTCTGCGACTGCGTATTGATGCTCCCTGGAGTGAACGTAAAGTTGATGGGTTTGAATGGTCCCGTGGGTTGAGTAATGTTTCGCAGATCGACCCGTCCCGACCCCGCTTGCGCGGCCCCGCTGTACTTGATTCCGTACCGGAACCTTCCTTGGATTTGCGTCTGGGTCATACCCGAGTAGGTGCCGCTTTGAGCACCCGCGGTGCCTCCTCCCCTATACGGTACCGTTTGGTCATCTTTTTCGTGTTCGTCGTACGGTGTAAACCCGATCTGTGCTTGGGACGAAGTACTACCCGGGCCGTTGGCTTGGGCGTCCGCCACGCCCCCTTTCTCGCTCGCGCGCACTTGAGTCTGAGTGCCGTGACTCACGCCCGAAGTCTGCGCGGAGGAGAGCGCGTCACCGGTTTCCGAAGAGAGCGTCACTTGCGCTTGAGATTGTCCCAAACCTCCGCGTCCTTGGGCGCTGCTCTGAGCCCCTTCTTTGCCGCCGGAGACCTGAGTCAGCGCGCCTCGTTTTCCGTCGTCCGAGCCAGCTGATGCGCTGAAGGAACCCGAACCGGAGTAGGTCCCGGATACTTGAGATTGCGCCGTGCCTCCGGCGAACTTCCCTTGCGCTTGCGCATTGGCGGTCGTTTCGTTGTTGCTCTGCAACACGGACGTTTGCACTTGCGAGTCTGAATCATCCTCTCCTTGCACACGGATTCCTGCGAAAGAAACATTTTTTTGTATCGCCGAATAAAGTTTTTGCAGCAAAACATTACCCTGCCCTCCTACTACATATTGTCCGGGCGGTACCGCACCTCCTGGTAATCCCTCGTATCCTGGAACACCGTAACCTGGTGTTCCTGGTTGCGGTCCACCGATTCGACTTCCGTAACCCGGTTGTATGCCGTAACCTGGTTCTCCCGGCTGAATTCCGTATCCTGGTTGCCCCGGCTGGACTCCGTAACCCGGTCCTCCCGGTTGACCTCCATATCCTGGTTGTCCTGGTTTCTCTCCGTATCCTGGCGGAAGTCCGTAACCTGGTTGTCCCGGCTGAATTCCGTAGCCCGGTCCTCCTGGTTGCGCTTCATGTCCTGTTTGTCTTGGTTTCTCTTCATATCTTGGCGGAACTCCGTAACCTGGTTGTCCCGGTTGCACTCCATAACCTGGTTGTCCTTGTTGCCCTCCATATCCTGTTTGTCCTGGTCTCTCCCCATTTCCGGGCGGAACTCCGTACCCTGGTTGTCCCGGTTGCACTGCGTAACCTGGTTGACCCGGTTGCACTCCGTAACCTGGTTGACCCGGTTGCACTCCGTAACCTGGTTGACCCGGTTGCACTCCGTAACCTGGTTGACCCGGTTGTACTCCGTAACCTGGTTGACCCGGTTGCACTTCGTAACCTGGTTGTCCTAGCCGGACTCCGTAACCCGGTCCTCCTGGTTGTCCTCCATATCCTGTTTGTCCTGGTTTCTCTCCATATCCCGGTTGAACTCCGTAACCTGGTTGTCCCGGTTGCACTCCATAACCTGGTTGTCCGGGTTGTACTCCGTAACCCGGTTGTCCCAGTTGCACTCCGTAACCTGGTTGTCCCGGCTGAATTCCGTATCCTGGTTGCCCCGGCTGAACTCCGTAACCTGGTCCGCCTGGTTGTCCTCCATATCCTGGTTGCCCTGGTTTCTCTCCGTATCCAGGCGGAACATCGGATCCTCGTTGCCCCGGCTGAATTCCGTATCCTGGTTGCCCCGGCTGGATTCCGTAAACCGGTCCTCCTGGTGGCCCTTCATATCCTGGTTGTTTTGGTTGGTCTATATAACCCGGTTGTCCCGGTTTTACTCCATATCCCGGTTGTCCCGGTTGAATTCCGTAATCCGGTCCTAGTTGTTGCACTCCGTAACCCGGTTGTCCCGGTTGAACTCCGTAACCTGGTTGTCCCGGTTGCACTCCGTAACTTGGTCCTCCCGGTTGAACTCCATAACCTGGTTGTCCCGGTTGTACTCCGTGTCCTGGTGGTCCCGGTTGTCCTGTATGCACTCCGTAACCCGGTTGTCCAGACTGACCTCCGTAACCCGGCTGTCCCGGTTGCCCTCCGTATCCTGGTTGTCCTGGTTGCACTCCGTATCCTGGTTGACTCGGCTGGACTCCGTAACCCGGCACTCCTGATAGTCCCGGTTGCACTCCGTAACCTGGTTGTAAACTTGGGATTTGATAACCTGGTTGCACTATTTGTCCGGGTTGAATGCCATAGCTTGGCTGACCTGGTCGCGAACCATATCCTGGTTTCGCCGATATTTCAAGATCCGGTCGTCCGGTGGCAGGGCCCGGTGGACCTTGCGGACGCGTTGCTTCATACTGTCCGGAGAAGGTTCCAGAAAATCTGCCCGAGTGTCCCAGGTGACTTTGGTATTCACCAGACACGTGTCCACCAAACGTTCCTTGTTCTTTGCCTACGGCTGTAATTTGCCGTCCCACACCTAAAAATTATTGTTAAGGTTAGAATCCCGGTACGTTATCACTTTTTGCTCCTACCAGGATAACCAACTTCGCCCGGCCTGACTTCACCTGGCACGGCAGTTCCAGGAATCAAACCGGGAATCTGCACACTTTCACCGGGTCTTACAGCGCCAGGGTAGCCTTCACCAGGTTGTCCCACACGTGGATATGCACCCTCGCTAGGTTTTCCAGAATAATTTATTCCAAGAACCGGGGCACCTGGATATGTCTGGCTAGGCCACCGTGTTCCAGGTTTACCAGGATAATCTACTCCACCAACTGCACTCGGTCCAGGATAAACTCCTCCTGGTTTCCCGATGGTGCCTGCAGACCCTCCCGGATATCCGATTCCCTCTCCAGGTGCTGATCCCCCGGGGTAACTGTCCCCAGGCCTTAGTAATGGTCCGCCGGGTCTTTCGGGATATCCTCTACCTTCTCCGGGACCTAAAATTACTCCGGGTCTTCCTCCCGGGTATTGTCCAAAAACCTCGCCTGGGTATCCAATTCTATCACCCGGGACTCCAGCTCCTGGGTAACTTTCTCCCGGTCTTCCTATCGTTCCGCTAGGCGCTCCAGGATATGTAATACCCACTCCGGGAGATTCTGCTCCCGGATAACCTTTGCCTTGAGGACCAACGGCACCAGGTCTTTGATACTCTCCCCCAGGTTTTGCGCTACCTGGATAATTTACTCCGGGATAACCAGCATCTGATCTTCCTCCACCTGGGCCTATTACTTCACCTGGTCTTTCCGGTGTCCAACTTCCTGGAAAACTCGGTGAAATTGCTTCCCCAGGTTTTCGGGATGGTTCCGAAACAGTAGGTAGTCCAGGTCCCGCATATTCTTCTCCCGGTCTACCAGGATACCCAGGTCTTCCTTCGCCAGGTCTACTTCCTGACACTCCTGGTGGGTAAATTATCGAACCCGGACTGGAGAGCCTTTCCGGCGGTACACCTCTGCCGTATTGAAGTATTTGATCTTGAAATCCGACACCGCATTCGCCGCAGTCTACCGGAGAGCTTTGACTTTGGGCTTGCCCCATACCGCTTGTACCAGCTGGAAAGAAAGTATTTCTGGATCTATCGTATGAAAAACCGCCCGACACTTACTGACAACCGCTTTGGTTCCGTTAGAGGTGCTTTCAGCTTCCGCCGTACCTGGTTCATTCGAGTTGCCGAAGTTCAAGTACTGCGACTGAGTTTGACCTCTAACCCGGCCAGAGAAGGAGTTCCTGGTCTCCCTCTTTTTTCTAGCACTTTCCTGGTCGACGAGCGGCAAGTCGTTTAGCATGACTTTGAGGTCATCGCCGTCATTTCGGTTAGAGTCGATGAGGTAAGTCGGAAAGCCTCTGCAGAATTCTGTGATCCTTTGACCGGCCAACCGCCATATTTGTCTCTTGGATAGCTTATTGGACGTAGCGAGCGCTTTGGGCACATCTGTGGGGTTTCCGGTTGCGATTCTGCGCGCTATGACGCTATCTTGACCGTTTAGGATTTCCAACAGGCACTTGGACTCGTCGAGGTCTTTGTACGCGGCTACCCTCTGCGAATCGCGATTTTTTTTAGCTGTTGTGGCCGCGGCCCGTTGGGGAAGGTTCTTACCGTTTGGTAGTCATAGAGCGTTCTAGATTTTCCGCTGAGCGTTCTGTTAACGTAATCCTTCTGAATGAAATTCTAAACCCAACAAACATAAGTCATAAGATAAATCTCAAAGCCAGCCGTTTTTTTCTAAAGGTTCAGCAGATCGCTTTCTCGTCTATTAATAACCGGAATAGATTAGAGATGTGTCGAAATAAGGACATGTCACCGTCGGTGAACCGCGACTGTCGTTTGTTTTGCCTATTCGTGGGGACTAAAGGAGCGTTATCAACTCTTCACACATAGATGTACCGGCTCGAGTTCTCATAACTGTATGAGTTTAATTTAATCCAAAAAGAAGATGTCGCAGCAGAAATAGCATAACAAAGAAAAAAATTAATTACAAATTCGAAACGTTCGGCTTTGTCCACCAAAATATTTTCGTGACCCATATTTGAATATTTATCAGTATAGTATTAAACATTTTGAATAATTGGAGCGTACCGAACGTTGAAGATAAAAGCTAAGCTAGTTACATCCGCGACACCGAAAAGTAGGTTATCGGATTTGATGTTTGCGATGGAAAAATGAGTAGACGACGTTGAAGAACGCACCTGTGGAGGAGGTGTCGATGGCGATCACAGCCCCAAATAAATTTAAGTTGCCCCAAGAAACAAATCGCATTCCAATATGTTCGCGGATTATCAGTACCATGACGCAAATGAACAAATGGATATACCTGATCCGGCGTTTCTGCGGCGGACGATCGTCGATAACAAACCAGATAGTGCACAATCAGAAATCTGACCAAGATGACGCTCGGTCGCGGCTCCATCGCTTATTCAGATCATTTGGGCGCCTCGACAGAAATGCTGAATCAATTCCTGTTTGTCGCTGACCCCTGACACGCGTTCGTAGTGTCCCCCATTTTCGAGATAAGCCCATCGCCACTACGGGGCGCGAACACAAAGTACCAGCTTAATTTTTACTCGATATTTGATTAATTGATTTCATGTTTTTTTCTTAACTCAGCAGCTTCAACTCTTGCACGGCACTACGAATTTTAAGCAACTCGGTGTGGGTGAAAGTGTGCTTCATCAAGCCTATTTTACCAGCGACGTGATGATGCCATTAGTGCGCTCTTCCTAATATAACCGAAAATTGGGAAATTCTCTAAAAATTTAATATATTGATAAGAACAGAATTTAGATATCACGAAATTTACTGTTTTTTTTTTGTCAAATTTAATGATATTATTTCATATATTTATAATTTTTAAATCAATCAATTATTAAAAAACTTGTAAGTGCATAATAATAATAATAAATTTATTTACATTTCATGTTACAATAACTTATATAGTACATGGCCAATAAAAGGCTTTCTTTTAAAGAAAAGTTTCATACATCTGGAAGAATCAGATACTGTTCAACCCTAGTTTTATCTATGTATCTTATATAACAAAAATTCTTCAAATATAGATTCCAGTCGCTAACAGTTCTCTAGAATACGCGCTCCATAAACTAGACATTGGATTCCTTGTATCTGTCAAAGAAGGGAGAGGCGGAATTGAACGAAAGTAGGTTATAAAAAACGATTCTGAATTATATTGCATCTGATTATTAAGTAGATATCTTTTGTACATTTGCTTAAATGTTTTTATTGAAGTTGTGTTGACGAAGCTTATTGAGTTTGCCATATGCGCAATGTCGTACTAAAAGAATCTTTTGAAGATTTCTTTTTGGTGTCGCGGCACTCTGAATCTGTAGTTTTGACTTAGGTTTAATGCATGTACCTCCGACCAAAACGTAATTTTATCGAAAAGATACTCAGGCGATTTGGACTTAACTATTTTAAGATAAAATGTAGCACGATGTAGTCTAAGTTTATTAAACATGTTGAGTCAACCGGAAGCAGCCAAATATGGAGAGATAGAGAGAATAGAAGTATAATAAACTGGTAGTGTGATTTGTGTTTGTTATACGTGTACCTAGAGTCTTAAAACTATTAAAAATTTGGGAAAGCCATCCACTAGAACAACGCAAGACAATAGTTAATGTCTTAGAATACGCCGAATAGTGTCTTCCATTGTGTGTCCCATTCTAAATGCCGAGGTGAATATCGCGTTGAATCAGTGCCGCTTGATTGATAAATAGCAATTTAGGCATTTGTTTTACCTACCCCTACGCTCTTAGAAACTTTTTTGAACCAGGAATACTTTTACTACTTAAAATTGTAAAATTTATCATTGAATCTTAATAATAGCACTCGTAACATAACCGAATTACAGGAAATATTAAATATAAATCGTACAATGTATACAGCGGACGGAAAAACTAATCTAAAATCTGCTAATCTTATAATTAAAAAAAAAAAGAGATTGCGGAAGTATCGCCTGGGGACTATCATAATATAAATCCCAGTACGATGATAGTTTGTCGAAGGTTTTGAAAATGGATTTTGGACCTGAATAACTGCGTTGAGAAAGTAATGAAGAAATGAAACAGATTGCAAGTCTCTGCGCAAGCTCGGAGGCAGTACAGCGAACCTTCCCAGCAGAAGATCATGATTAACTCCCCTCGCAGGATAGGAACCGCCGTCCCTGAACATTAGATGCTTCAGTAACCTTCTCTGCACACTCTCAATTGACTGAGCGTGGCAGTTTTATATTGGTGACCATACCAGCGGGCCATAGTCAAGGGTCTAACACTTAAATAGCATTTTAACGAATCCTAAAATTTGCATTGCACTGGAAAGCATTTTAGTAATGTGAGGTAAAAAAGAGAACGTCTGGTCAAATAGAGTTCCCAGATCCGTTACAGTGGTAAGTCTAGTCAGGATAGTAGCATCCTTATTGTAATTGAAGACTATAGGAGTTTTTGTGCTGTGGTAAGAAACCACATTACACTTGCTGATGATAAGGTGCAATTTATTTTTACTATACCACTGACTGACAATATTGATGTTGTCCTGGAGAGTCATGCAGTCCCTGCCGGTTTTAATGCAGTGATATAGTTTTAGGTCATCCGCACAGAGCGTCTATAAATATATTAAACAGAAGTGGTCTAAGGTTAGAACATTGAGGCACACCAGAAGTTGGAATAAAAGGAACTGATCTAAACCCCTCAATTTCAACGAACTGAAAAAAAGACAGATGAATAAAAACAAATTCCGGTGTAGTACCGTGATGTGGTACGTATCACTTTCGGAATAGGACTGGTATCTAGAGTGTAATTTTTGTCGCCGTTTTTGGTCTTTTTCTCTTTGACGAAACATTTTTAATTAATCTAAATCGCGAATTATTTTCGATTAACACTTAACTACGACGTTATCGGCGGAAAGGTCAACACTTTGCGGACCGGTGTTACGTAAAAATCGCCCTCGCGACCGTAACGTATTTTGTAAAAAAAAAAATGACGGTTTGATTCAAAACATTTATTGGACGTATAAAAGTACACAAAGTCTACCGTAGATTATTCATATAAATACCGTTTCGTAGCAGGAATGAGACTCTACTTACAAGAAAACTTCTACCGACACAATAATAGTAGGAATGAGTACTATAAATAATTAAATACACGTTAACGGATAAATTAATATTGCACCGTCGGCCGCCAAAACATTATCGTTTTGTACAACGCTACCTAACCTAGAAAAAAAACTTACTCTAGTGACTAGGATTCGATATCATTAGCCGATACAATGACACAAAAGTAAAATTAAAAAAGAAAAAAAGCATACGAAATAAAGAAACGTAAAATTAAATCGATTTTTGACAGGGCGAATTGTCGCGCCGGTCAAGAAATCTGACAGAAGACTAGCAGCACTCCATTTTCGTTCGGACGAAATGCGCCAATAGCAAAGTTCGGTCGCTTTTGGGCAAGTGTCGTTGAGAAAAAATAAATAAATAAATAAAATTAATATCTAATTGCGGTTATCGGCTAATGGTACATTGCTGATACCTTAGCCAGTCTGTTTTCTCCAACTATTTCTACGTGTTCTATCAGCAAACCATTAAAAGTACCATACGATTAAGTATTCCTCTACAGAATAATACTACTAACTTTAATTAGCCTAGTAGAACCATTTCTACTATCTACAGTTCTAACAAATTAAGTACCAGCTGCCGTGAAGAGCTCAATGGGAACCTAAGATCTAAGCACCAAAAACAGCTTTAGAACTAACCATAAACATAGGAAAACGTTAAAAACGAATACTTGTGGCACAAATAGAATTCACAGTTTCTAATTTATTCTAAACCTAAGCCCATTCAAAATGGTCCCTTTACAAGGAATTGCTCTCGAAAATCTAATATTCAAACCGCTATGGCGAGTCCCAACGAGTAAAGGTTTTTCTGTGCGCAACTAGGTTTATCCCTAGTCGAGAAATCAACCGGCTGTTCTTGGTGATGTTGCATTATCTGGGTGAACGCGGCCGCGTTGAGGATCACAGAGGGGTGCTTGATGGTGGAGTAGAGTAGACGCTCCGGATTCGGCGATATCACTGTCGAACGGTAGAGCATCGGTGACCTAACCGCGTTCTCCGTACTGCGGATGACCGAGTCTGTGAGCCTCACCGCCGATACAATCACTGGGGTCGGCGATGCGATCGCTTTGTCTGCAAGAAATCGTCAATAAGTTAATATTAAGGTTCAAATCCTAAGTAAACAAGGTAAAAAGCCAAGTCGCTATATGAAGATTCCAACCCAAGTGTACATCTATTGGTGGTCTTCAAATGCTTTAGGTTAGTAATATAACCCATGAGGCAGCACATGGGACTAAAAAGGAAGGAGTGCAGGACACAGGGATATCTCCTTAATCGCAAATGCTGTTAAATGTTGTGTTTCTTTGAAGAATAAAGAATAGAAAGAAAAGAAAAGTAAATTAGAGAAATCAAAGGATCGAAAATTTCACCCGTATATGTAGACATAATATAAGACTACATAAAGATGAACTGGCTGGTAGGTCATAAGAATATCTCGGCTCGTAAGCAATTTTGGCAACTCTCATCGAAGAATCATCGGCGGCTTACAAAATGTATAACTTTGAGATCGCAAATTGGCGAGACTGCTATTATTCGACGATGTGGGAGAAGATTAAAGAAACTTAGGTATGTTATTAATGGAAGAAGTTCCGAAATTTCACACATGTCGTAGAGGTTACGTAAAGACTACATAGGTCATAGGAAGATCTCGTTGCTCGTAACCAACGTTGACAACTCTCATGGAATGTACAAACCTAGATTGGGAAAATGGGTGTGCTATTAGAGGACGAAGCTCCGCTTTAATTTAGTTTAAACGATGGGAAATCTCACACTCGTGTGTAAAGGTTACCTTTATCCGGTGAGCCTTCTCTGGACGAGTGCCTTCCGTTAATCCTCATGCAAGAAGACTCCTCGTGCTTGTACAGGTACGACTTCAGGGCGAAGGCTTTGCCGCACCGGCCGCACACGTGCGGCTTGGTATTGGAATGGGTTTGGATGTGCGCCCTCAAGTTGGACTTGTCAGCGAACGCCTTGCTACAGATGGTACACCGGAAGGGTTTCTCGCCGGTATGGGTCCGTATGTGGCCCTGCAGCAACCACGGTCGTGAGAAACACTTGCCGCAGAAGTGGCATTTGCAGCCCTGGTTGTGGGTGCGCACGTGCATCGAGAACGCCGGCATGCTGACGTAGAGCTTGTCGCAGTGCGGACAGCGACGCGCCTTTTTATCCGCCGGACTCCTGTGCGTCTGCCGGTGGCGCGCCAAGTTACTCGACGTGCTGTACCTGCGCGCAAACATACTCAGTCGGTAACGGGTCGAGATTCGCACCTTGAGGCGCGCCTTTACCTTTTGCCGCACTCCGAACATTCGTGGTCGTTGGAATCGGACGATGAGCCGTCGTTTTTCTGAGTGTGCGTGGGTGCGACCTGCTGACCCCCCGGCATATCGAACAGGGTTGTGTTCATTTCTTCGTCCTGAAACGCGAAAATATACTCTTCATGCACACTTTGGTGTCCGCAACGTTTGCGTCACCTTTAGCGGTCCGTGGTGGTGTCGAGTTGCCCTCGACGATTTGTCGAACAGTTTATGCGTGTAGGAGCACGGCGAGTCTGCGCGGTGGCCTCTTCTTTCCATGATTTGACCGGTGGCCACCGCCACCTCCGCGAGCTTGGTCAAGTTGTAGAGCTCATCGGGGTAATCGGAGCTGCTTTCCGATGACGACGCGTGCAGGTCGGAAGAGTTTTCCGCCACATTTACCGAATGTTCGGGACTCGCGTCTGAAAACCGCATCAGTGGAAGGTTCGCGAACGGCGTGGCGTGTGACGCAAGCGATTCATTGTTGTCGCGGTTTCCAGATGCCAACAAGTAGCCCGAATTCGTTTTATTTATAGGCGTCTACCTGTACGGTTCGGCGAAACGTTCAATTTTGCGACGCCTATGTTCGAGAAAAATCGCGAGCCACGCGATCCTTTGGTGTCTGACAGCAGACGCCAGTGGTGGATGGTTTGAAGGAAAACAATACAGCGGTATCTAAGATGGTCTCCTGGTTTCTATGGACTATTGACGTTGAATTGATGTGATTGGGAATTACTTTGTTTAGTAGGGGAGATCGGTATTTCTTATAAATAGAAAACAAATTACAATGTTGTAATGCCACGTAATATTCAAAGAATTAGTCCCAATAAGACCCAGGCGAATTGGTTAGTTAGAGGTCCATAGAAAACATCTCCTGGTTAGTTTCAACCATTAAGCGATGGACAATTGACAAATGATTAGTTCATGGTACTATATTGTTTGCTATAAACAGCGAACATGCGAAACGGAAACAGCTGGAAAAGGTTATTTAGTATTCTTGTTGCTACTGATTTTAGATAGTTGGTATGCTACTTTTTAATTTTTTATGGTATCCCTTAATCCCTCAAAGAATTAACTTCAAAAAGGTAGTCCAATTGTTATTCTCGTTTTTATTAAATCTAGGAGAGAATTATACTGGGCCTTGTAGGATCTTAATGGACGCGATCATGAATTGGTTAGTTTAACAAAAAACTTGCCCTGGTCAGTTGACATCATTAAGCGATAGAGGATTGACGCCTGGTTGCTGTATGGTTCGTTCTATTTACACCAAGCGAACAATGTTAATATATAAGTGACATGGAAGAATTACTTCTCGTTTCTACTGATTCTGGAGTAGAGTTCGTTGTAAGAATTATTGGGCTTGAGTTAGTGTATTTAAATATTTCTTACAATACAGGAGGTGCTTGCTATTTCTTGGGTAATATTCCTCAAAAAGTTAATTTAATTGATCTTCTCTGGTCCTTGTTTGAATCTTAATAGATGCCTCGATGAATTGGTTAGAGATTCATAAAGAAACCTTTCCCGCCGGTTGGCTAGTTCAAATCATTAATCGATGGAGGTGTGACAGCTGGATCGATCTGTTTTACCTAAGATACCCACGTATCTGCTATAAACGAACAGCCAAGGAAACTGCTCGCAAAGGATAAAATGTACTTTATTTTGTTCCTCTCCGGTTCTAGAGGGGGAGTTGGGTGTAATTAGATGCGTATCAATGGGGTGTTATTAGCCTGGATGAGTTTCGAAGGAGATTATAGAGATAAAACCTCTTCTCAATAATAAAATAATCAAACAAGTGAGGGTAAGAGAGATTTCTTTCTGTTGAAGGTAGGGTGTGCAAGGAAGGTTTTGGTTAGTTTACCAAAAGCACGAAAGATTTTTCCAGACTTTGGGTATACGGCATGACTATGACGAATCCGGTTCCTATTTCTAATCCAGGAAAGGTGCTACCCGTTGAACTTGAAGTGGGTAGATATCTTGGCATCGAAACGCGGAATATACGCCGCTGTCTAGGTTCGATTTTGGTGGACGAGGCTACGCGCGTCCGATAGAAAACTAAGTTTATAAAAAAAAATCGAGGCCAAATATCGGTGGTGGTGGAGGGCCAGGCGTGTGCGTTTTGGACACGCGCCAAGCGATAAATTCGCTGCCGATATTCGCCTTACGCGATAATGGTTTCGTTTATTGACAAACTCGTTCGGTTTTCTCCGATGGAAATAGAACAGGTGGAAAAATTATCCGCAAAACCCGACTTGAATATAGAACGAGATCGCAAAAATGCCGAAAAGGTCGTGCGACAATAGTTGCCATAATTAGTACACACACAAAGATCAGGACAAAGAAATGAATTTGGTTAGTAAACGGCCCATGTCAGTGTTAATAGAACAAGTGGACCCGTTTGGAGGATTGTACGTCAGTGAGATTGTTGACGAGCACTAATAAAATAACTTAAAAAATTAAAAGGATTTCGTGAAGATAATCTGCTGACCGATGCTGACGATTTGGTGGATGGTCTTTCTAGTGCGCGCTAATTTTAGAGAGCCATTGAGGCTATGCCAGCGTAGGACTGAGTTTTAACGCCGCCGACGAAAGATTTTACAATTTGCGCGGGTCCGCGATTTGTTTTTTCACCAACAAAGTGGAAATCGTATTGTTTAATGGCCCCCGGCCGTAATTTGTTTACGTCATTCTCAATTTTATAACCCTCGTTTGTTTGTTTAAATTTTACTATGACCCCTTAAGGAACAATAAACAAACGCGAGCTTGATGTTCGGGCGGTAATTTCGCGCGCCCGTTGATATATACTTTTCATGGTGAAACTTTTAAAGTGTGAAAGTGATTTGATGTTTAGAAGGTTCAGTATAGGCCAAATAAGCCTAAATAATGCATTAAGATAGCTTTGTTGTGGCCATTGCCGCTTAAATGTTGTAGAAATAGTGTGAACGTGCGAATATTCTTATATTATATTATATTACTGAAAGTTCATAGCAATTTAGGGAGGAAAAACAGTGACTGATGATCAGTAACAAGTAGATCAGATAAGAGAGATAAATGGAAAAAGAGTTACAAAGAAGTTAGAAGTTTAAGATTACCTTAAGAATAGAAATCTATCTATCTATCTGAAATTATTGTAGACTTGGGTGCACAAGGTAGATTTTGGTTAATTCACCAAGAGCAAAAAAGATTTTTCTAGACTTTGGGGATACGGGATGACCATGCCGAAGCAGCTTTTCCATGGGGAATGTTACAAAAGGTTATAAAGTCTCATATGAAATTTCCATAACATGTCATTTGTTTTGAAAAGTTATGGAAGAGAGTCTTTATGCTCGTCAAACACAGAATGAGATAAATGAGGACGCGCAACCATTTACTATTTTTTCATTCAACATACAAAAAATTAATATTGTATTTATAATTAGTAAAAAAAGAAACACAAAATTGTTAAGAAGGATGCTATTTTTTATTACTCTTTGATCCTAAGACGGGTTAAATTAAAAATTAATAAATGCAATCGCATTTCAATACAAAGTCATTAGCTATTTATCCTGAATTTAGTTTGTGAGAATAACTTCAAAGAAGTAGATGAAAGTGAAATTGAACGTCCGAAGTGTTAAATGAGGTTGCATGCGAGTTAAAAAAAACGTCGTTTCCTTGCTAAATTTACAAGTTGCTCCAAGATTGGATACATAATTTTGCTCCATGCATTCGCGGAACTTATGGTATGAAATTGCGAATTGACATGCCGCAACGACCTTCGAGATCAGCTTACGCATAAAAAGGCAACGAATCCTACCGCACCGCTCAGATATGGCGCCCGGAGTCTTAGGAACTACCGCTTACCCTTCCTGCCGTCGGATCCCTCTGGATGGTACCGTTTGTGCGTCATGAGGAAAGCTCTGGGCATCTTTTACGAGTCAGTTGGACAGACGCGTCAGTCACGTCTGTCAGTTGGCATTCAAAAACCACCTCACCGCGGTACCGGTGGTGCGCATATATTTTTTTTTTGTTTTTTTTTTAATTTGAAATGGAGAAAGTGTGTTCGCGCACGCGAGAGGAGCTAAAGTGTGACTGCGAGACGTTAAGTCAGTAGCCGCGGCTATATTTACACACGTGGACGCGTGCCAACTGAAATTTCAGGTGGGAGGGATGCTGAAACGGAGGAGCGCGCGCGCGCTCGCTCTGCCTCTTTCTCCTGAAACCGCCCGAGGGTCGTCGGCGTCTTCCATTTGGGCCCCACGCCGACGGCGCTCGCGCCTGTTGCGCTTAATGAACCCGCCGGTGTTTTTTCTTACCCGGTGGGCGAGAAGTTACCATAGATTTTGACCGGTTCTATAATTTTAGCTACATTCTTCTCTCTTTTTTTTCGCAGTGCCATGACAGTTGTCGATTGTTGGCTATCACGTTCGCGTTCATAATTATTGTCATTGAATTATTGACTGCTGAAAGGAATAATTGAATTATAATCATTCAATCCCACTTTCGCATACTACCTAACACTATATTCATTATAGAATATTATTAGGGAGCATAATCTATTCAATCAATATAATATCGCGAAGAGTACACTTCAACTTACATCAACATCCAGAACAAAGACAATGAAACAAAATTCTATCTAGTTCTAGGTACCGACTAACTAGACTATTATAATATTTGCAACAATGAAGTAAAGTCGAATTTGACGTATAACTTGGCCTACATAGGTCTACAACGCAAATGTCTCTGCCACCAAGCATGGCAGGTCTACAATTTAATGAGAAAAGCTGTATGATCTCATTGCAGTCTACTATTGAGTAAAAGTCATCGTTACAAAATAAAAGTGTTTGAGAAATATATCAATAGGGGGCACTTTAATTAGAATTTTTTTTTTTAATTTTCCTTGTATTTTATTTATTTAGACTGACACTGCAAAATAGAACAGATAGCAGCAGAATCCCAAATTCTCAACAATTGTTACTCTTGTTTTAAGTCGATAAGTGTTATCGTTTAGCCGCAAATCGATTTTTTATCCTCGGCTCGAATTTTACCAGTAACAGGATTTAATAAAATTTGAAAGTCATTGTCGCAATCCGTTAAAAATTAGGTTCTATTAAAAGAGCTTATTATCCAACTGCCACTGTGATGGCCGATCAGGAATATTCAAATACTGAATATCGCTGTATGAATTTTTGCTACGGAAGGGCAAATGGAAATGCAGATCAAATACGTCGCCTTTGTATCGAGGCTTATCTCAGTAGACACGTTCCATCTGCTAAGCCGTTCATCAACTAACTTGCTGCTCGGGAAAGAATTTCTTGCTCTACAGTTTGGAAAGTTTTGAATGAAAATGATCTTCGGCCCTTTCATGTTCCAATAGTTCAAGCATTGTACGAGAGTGATGAGCAGTTGAGAGTAATTTTATGCAATCAAATTTTAGGAAAAATTCAAAATTGCCCACAATTCTTAAATGTCATTTTGTTGACTGACGAGGCTGCATTCAGTCGTATTGCCGTTTTAAATTTTCGAAATATGCATCCGTGGAACATTGAAAACCCTCGTGCATAAATTGGGAAGATGTATTTGCAATTTCTCCAATAGCAACGACCACCTTTATTCGAAGTGGTACCCTTGCACTGGAGACGAAACGTGTGGTTAATGCAAGATGGCGCTCCACCATACTTTACATTGGATGTACGAAGGTATTTAAATCAGGCATTTGAACATTTATGGACAGGTCGGGGCGGACCTCTAGCGTGGCCGCCTCGCCCATCAGACTTTAATCCGATGGACTTCTTTTTTTGGGGGCACTAAAACACCTATAACAGATATCAATGATCTACTGTAAAAAATAATAAACGCTTGCGAAATTGTTAGAAATATGTGGTGTATTTTTTCGTATTCGACAGCATTTTTTAAAATTTATAAGAAATTGTTTAAAAAATGAACGGTGAATAATTTTTTATATTCGAAAATGTTAACTCAAATTAAACATGTTATTGCGTTGACTTGTTGCACATGTAGTGCACATTACGATTTAGAATTTTTGCTACGTGACGGACTACGATTATTTTACCACGTTGAACCGTACCTCCAAGTTTCCGAAGGCCCTGTATGTGCCACATTAAATTGACTTTGTTGACTAGTTTTAACAAGTCCCTAATAAAATCTTTTTGAACATGCTCTTTCTAGTACCTTTTGCCCTATATGGACCGAGCAATTTTTTTTAGAGGAATTCGTACATAGCATTTTTTTGTAAAACGGAAGTTGGTCCAATCTCTAGCCCTTTTCCTTTTTTGAGAGATACTTTTCGTACAAGTTTCACCCCTTGCATGCTTTCTATTTGCTGACCTACCGATAAGCTAATAAATAAGTGTTCCCTATGTATTTTTTTTTGCGTATAGTACAGTGCCGCACACTAAATATACGGGGTCTGATTGAAAAGTTACCTGACCCCATGTTAATTTGTGCCCATGTTTAAAGTTTTGGTAATTAAATGCTTGTTATTTTTCAAAATGTTATCCAATGAATGAGAATTATCGATCACGATATAGCAACAGCAACTATGATTTTTTAAACAAAACACATTATTCCACCAATCTTGTTCACCTCTGGGGTAAACTTAATTTTAGATAGGGTCTTTTGAAAAACGGCCACCGGAGCCAGGTTTGAAAAAAAAAAACTTTCAAGGCCTCCGCCGACCTCCGGTTGCCAAGTCGAAGAGCGAGAAGAATCCCCGCGACTGAGTCAGTGGCCGAAACACGTAAAAAACGTGGAAAAGTGGTTTATGGAAGCCGGCCAAAACGTTCCAGACGTCCATGGCGTCGCGACGCGCATTCCACGGTCCGATTTAGACGACTTAGTAACGACGCCGGCATCTCGGTTCAGTGACGTGTCTCGCGGGCGACTCGCTCCTACGGGGTGTCGAAAAGAGTATATACCCAACTACACCCGTGTATATACAAGGATATCCGGAACCGAGCGTCTGGCGATCTGTCTAGCCTTAACGACCCCGAATGTTTAAAAGGTGCGACAAGCCCCGCACTTTAACCCTCACCCCCATTGATTAATTGCCGAATAGTTGGGATAGCTTCGGGGACGGTCCCCTTCAATAATGGATCGACTATTTGTCTCTAGTTTACCAGACGCTTTCCACCTGGATGCGAGAAGGGTACGCGAAGGAACATTTTTGGTATACATGCAATTTCTACGTAAAGTTCCGTGAAAGTCAAAGTTTAAGAACACTGATGTGGAGTGTTGATTCTCAGGCCTATCTCTAATGAAACGTCAGCTCCTTCTTATTTCACTGATTGTTTATTGTGGCTCGAACTGAGTAACTGTTACTGACTTACTACTTACCGATACATACCGAAAATACTTAATTAATTAAGGGAATCCGTTTCGAATGAGTTATGAAAGTTAACAAATCGGTTGGGATGAAAATAACGTCGGTCGTATAAAACAACTCTCCAAGCCCCTCTGAAATTGCGAATTGGCGAATTTTTATTTACTCTTCGACAAGGTTCTGTAAAGTTGGATCAACCGTAGTGTTTTGGTTAATCCGAACGGATAGCCAGGCTGGAGCAACAGAATAATTTTGTTCGGTATCGTGTCGAAAGCTGAATATTGTGAAATCGAGTTATACGCAAGAGTGTTTAGAAAAGTTTTTATGAAAACCTCTTCGCATGTTACCAAGGGATGTGAAATTAACCGTTTGCTTAGTTTAATGGTTTTTAAAGTCAACATATATATAGCAATCTCGATTTGTTGGAAATATGGCATTAGGCAGTACTGGCAGTGCAGTGCAGTTTGGTTCCCTGATTTTCGTTAGTTCCAAAGAATTGCGTTACCGAACCAATAGAATAAATAATTAGGGTCGGTATCTTTTCGGAAGCTAAACCGACATAAGCCTTTTAATCATCATATTCTTAAATCTACAGCAGTGGTATGCAAGAATTTGTAGAAATTTTTTCATAAAAAAACCACCACAAATTAACCACTTGGTTGATATGAGGGCTTTTAAGTAATGAAATATTCACTAAATGTTGAGCGAATAACAATGAGAGAAATATCGCAATTTCTATTGATTGAGGCAGTGCTGACATCTAATTGGAGAATTTTTGTCATTACCGTCTCGAAAGATTTATGGTAGGCATTGAACAGTGCTGATATTTGATTAAACTTGCCTTCCTCGTGATGCTGCTACCCTCGTTTTGAAGACGTTAAAACTACGTTTACTAATGCTCATTGTTGACCAAATAGTCAACCAGGAAGGGTAACCTCAATTTCACGGTCGGAACCATTCGTGGCCAGATTTTGTTTGTATGGTTTCCAAGAACGCATTAGCGCGTTTGAACGATTACCGAGAAAGACGACGTCTTGAACAAAGACCGGTGGATAGGAGGGGCGCAGAGATTGGAGTATATATCGAGGAAATTCATGTTCAATGTTAGGATTGCGGCGGTCCAGAAATAAACCGGTAACGGATTTGGTTCGCGCCGCGAAAGCGGATGTCGGAGGTGGTGGGAAACTGAAAATAGAAATATAACCGATTTGTTTGGTTTCTTTTTTCGTAAACACACCGTGTGCGTGCGGCGTTCTGGCACAGAGGGGTTTTCTCTCTCTCTCTCCCTCGTTCGCTCTTAAAAATAATGGACGGGCTCGGGGGAGGGGATGGTTGGGGAATTAGCTTGGTAATTTGAAACCGCGTCAGAGAAACGATTCAAGGATCAAGACCAATCGTAAATTAGAAAGTTAGAAGGTCTGAATCAGCTTTTTCGCCTATATAAAAAAAAACGGTTGGAAAATAAGATGCTTCGTCGGTCTTCCTTGCGATCTACACCGGCAGCCAAGCGACAATAAATAAAATACAGCGCAGCAAAATAATATCCAAGTTAGTTTTGTCATGGATATCAGGCAGGAAGGCTATAGGGCAGCTATAGAGACACGTCAGCTCGTGGAATTTACTGTTGGCTTAAGAGGCACCTGGGACTGGAAGAAAACACTGAGTAAGTTTTCATCTGCTGGACTTAACCAAATCAGAGGCAAGAGGTAGATGAAGCTATATAACTATGATGGTGGTCACAATAGATCATTTGGATGGCATTGACGGACAGGCTAAAACTTTTTATTATTATAACGTGCCTTGGGACTATCAAATTGGGCACCCCTTTAGGAAACACCCTGTGTAACAAATCTTTTTCATGGAAGTCGTTTAGGTCTGTCTCCGTCAGCGTCTAAAATCGTTTGTTTACGAATGGGACTCCGGAAGTTGACGCGTGCGGGGTCGAGGCACCCTTAACCTAACAACTTGCGTGGCTGCGCCCTTTTGACATACCCGCATTAACAGTTGTCGCGATATTAATAGGACGTTTTGGGTGAGACGCCGTTTCAAACGTTCACCGTCCTGTCGTCGACATAACCTTAAAACCCGGCTAGTTTCTCGCCATTGTTATCGCTTTGGTCGGTCGCGCCTGCATTAATTCTTAAAGGGAAACATCTGTTGATACGGCAGCGTAGCGTTATACGTGAAAATAAACGCGGTCTAAAAAAAGCGGCTTCTTGCGCGGTGTCTGCTATTTACATCTCGTTTCCGGAAGATAGGTAACGTTTGCGGGCGATTGATGCCAGTGTACAGGGTGTTCTACGACGATACGTCTCAGAAAAAGAAGATTATTCCCTATAAAAAATTACTAAAATTTGTTTACTGACGTTACCATAGAATTATAGCATCAACGACGTTCGACAAGTCAGCTTTGACGTTCGAGCCAGAGAGAGTGTTTTGGGTTACTTGTTTAGATTTAAACGATTAAGATAGATGGCAATATGAAGCTGCGTCCGAGTTCAGCGGTTCAGTTTGGTCGTTCGAGCCGGATTTCGAAGAAGAGTTGTCAAGTTTGATATATTAAAGTTGTTATATTTAACGACAGTAAGGGCCTGTACGTTGATATTCGCGTGAAAATTAGTGTTTGATGTCGTCATCGAGATAGACAAGTATCGCATGGAAAGATCTTTTATATATATTATAGTGAATTGGCTTGGTGGATTACGTATAATGAGACACTTTAGATGTGTTTAGATGTTTGTTTTGGATTATTTTGTAGATATTGAAAAAAGAGTAAGAAACTTCTGCGCTCAGAATGGATTAAAAACTACAATCAATATAATCTAATGCCATCATCAAGGTAGACAGGTGTCGCCATATAGTTGACTAAAATGACGTCCATATTACTTAATAATATCATAAGGACCGACAGTCGACTTCAACAACAAAATATACCTAGTTGAGTATCGAGCCGGATGCAGTGCGTTTTGAGTTCTCGATTAAGATATCAAGCGCTTGTTGTGAACAAAAAACATCGAGATAGACAACTTCATTTCAACAAATATGATAAGGTACGGGAAGTTTGTAGTTAGATTATGTGGTCTACGTGAAGCGAAGACACAGTTCAATAACAAAATGAATGTGCCGCCGATTTAGCTTGTGGAATACAATCTGGTCCTTCGAACCGGATTTAGTGACTTTTGGATTACTCGATTAAGATATTAGGCGCGGCGAATAAAGAAACGTGGAAACGACGGAAGCCGGATGCCGAACCTGTGCCCCATATTAAGAGATAGTTTATCAACAAAGCCGGTAACCTGTAGTGACGATTTCCGGCGTTCGAAGCGTAACCGGGAGCGACAACAACAAAAAAAAGAGAAGAGTTGAAACATCGTCGAGGAAAGCACGGGGCCACATGTCCGTCGACGGGATTGCGCCACGAAGCTCCGCGGCATCGGCTTCCTCTCGTTTCGCCGGATACGTTTCGAAATCGTGGAACGTGGATACGGAGAGAGAGAAGAAAAAAAAGAAAAACATCGCGCGCGATTTTACGACGTACGTATGACGCGAAACAGCCGGTCGGATCGCGTGGAAATTAACCGCCTTCGCGATCCCGTTTTTGCTTTCCTCCAGCGACGGAACAAGTCTCCATGGGGTTCCTAAAATGACAGTTTTAATCCCCGGAGATCGACTAGATTCCAGGGTAAAAGGGCATTTTTAATTACTCTTTTTTGAAGATATAAAGCACGCAAAAAGAAGCACATATTCCAGGGTAAAATTGCAATTTTGATGCCTCATTTTGGGATTAAATACTTTGAGAATGTAAAGCACAGGGGTCGTCTTGGTAAAAAAAGCACTTTTAATCTATCATTTTAGTCCCTGGACATTGACTAGATTCCTTGGGGAAAGTGCAATGGTGAATATTCATTTTATGGGCCCGCCAAACTTTGACTATATAAAACAGTAGGTTATGTTATTAATAAGAAGGCACTTGACAAAATTCTACTCAAAGCAATGATTTAAAAGAGATATATTTCAAAACTAAGAGCGAACTGGCAAAGGATATTAAAAGATGTAAAAAGCAATACGCCGAAACACTTTTAATGAGCAACAAAAAGAGAAGAGGTGATGTATGGAACTGTGTGAATAATATCTGTAAAAATCGTAAAGCCAAAACATTTATAGAAAAAATTGAACTCCAAAATTCCTCACAGATAATAGAAGAAAAACATGAGATATAGAAGTTGGAGAGATTGGCCAACTACATAAAAAATGTCTCATACAATGAATATATTAGTGGGGCTAAACTTCAGAGAAGTAACTTTCAGAGAAATACACAAAATTATTAAAATTCTTAAAACTAAAAAATCGCCTGGATATGACGAAGTAAGGGCTGAAACAATCAAAGAAATTGCTACAGAGATCACACCAATCTTGACTTATTTGCTACATTTTAGTTTTGTAGTTCATTGTTTTCCCGATGAAATAAAGTTAAGTGAGATTAGGTCGTCACTTGAAATCAGGTCAAAAAAAAATAGGCAACTGTAGACTAATTTAATTTATTTCGAATGTTGGGAAAATTTTTGAAAAAGCGATCAAAGATTGAGTGGTGGCATTTCTAGATAAGCATAAAATTATTTCTAAAAGACAGTTCGGTTTCCAGAAACACTAATCCATAATCTGACTTTGCACATTTATGATGCAATAGATAACAAGAAAGCTTCCGTGTGCGTTTTTGTTGATTTTACGAAAGAAATCCTTCGATACACAGTATGTCATGCCAAACTAATAAAAAAAACTCGAAAAATATGGCAATGTTGACAAATGGTTTAAGTGTAATAAACTGACTTTAAACAACACTAAGACAATTTCTTCCTTTTGCATCTTACTCTAAAACTCTACCGCATTTTGAAACCATCAAACTGGTACAAAATAATAAATTTTTGGACGTAATTATTGATAGATTTTCTCATCTCAAAGATTACTTAAATATTCATTATCGTAAAAAAGTTTACTACTCCCCCTTTAAATCGCAAATAAATTACGGTACTGTAATTTTGGGTAACAAAATATTATTTGGAAGAAGTAAACGTTTTGCAAAAGTGGGCGCTAAAGTTAATATTTAATAAAAATCAGTTCTACCCTACTTACATTTTATATAATGAAATCAAAATAGTAGACACCCGTCAACTTTACTTCAGTAGTGTTCATTAACAGAAAAAAAATTTAACTTGAAAATATCACATATAAACAGAATACCCGACATAAAAATGATTGTGCAGTTGTCCCAGTGAGCAAAAAAACCGTCAATCAAAGCTCATTTATGTTTCTGGCCCAAAAGTTCTTCAACTACGTACCCAAAGAACTTAAAGACACTGTATATGATAAATATTTCAAAGCTAAAGAAATTTTTGATAATTACAGACACATTAGAAACTCATAGCGTTTTTTGAAAAATCGTTTTAGTCTAAAAAACCCCCATTGTGACTTTATCTCAATTGTGACTCATATAAAGTCAACTCTGGCTGTATTCTAGGTAGTAAAAATGGCCTCCTATCGCTATCTTAGGCGTGAACAAGCAATAAATATTTAAACTCTATTATTAATATTGTTATTATTTTTTTTTATTATTATTCTGCTTGATATTATTATCATTATGTAGGTTCTAGATTCTAAATAAATGGGCAGTTTCTATATATTTTGAAAATATAAAACACAATACGTTGTGTTAGCAATAAAATGACACTTTTCATGATCAATTTAAAGTAGTTTTTTTTTGGCTCATCTCGACCATTTTTACTGACTGTCTCTGTCTCCTGCGTTCTTGCGTTAACTTGGTTGTTTTGTGAACTTCTTTTAATACTCTTCTAATATTTTTTCGTACAACGCTTTGCTCATAAAGGTTTAGCTGATAGTAGTGTATGTAGGTTGGCATTTCCAGGCTTTCCAAACAAGTTGTTAAGGTCCTTTAAAAGTTTGAACTAAAAATTAAATTAATAACTTTTTGTTGACTAGTTTCCAGATGATTTTCTTAATAATATCTCAGTCTTGTTTCAAATTTCCAAAAATGTTTTACTTTCTTTATACAGGATGTCCAGAAATGATAAGAAAAAAATGTGTGGGCAGACACTACTCAATATTAAAGTTTCTTGTAGTATTTTTTTCAAAATTCAAATGTAAGAGAAATTCAGAATGCACATGGTTTTAAAAATAAATTTTCCTTTTTTTTTCGTTTGCATATTACTTAATTTCTTCATTATGCGATTTTAAAAAATACAAAGTTTGTATATGAAAAGCACGAAATAAGCGACTCTGTAAGCTCTCTTTAGACGGCGAACCACCTATCGAGCCCGAGCCTCGTAATTTTATATAAGAGCGGCCATACGCGGGGGCAGCACACACGTAAAACGATCTTTAATGGGCACTTAAAATTAAAAATACGTTTCTCCGCGCGGAGTGTGCGGCCGCGAAAACCCAGGTGCCACGCGCGTTTCATCTCGTTTTTCCGCTCCCTCGAATCGGCCTGCCCCCCCGGATAAACGACGTCTGCGACACTCTCGAGCCCGCTGGGCCGCAATTTGTAATTATCGCACACGACTCGAAAAGGGAAATGTCTGCACCCACGAGAACCTGGATTCAAAAACATAAATTTTCTATTTTTAGTTTAACTCGATCAATACTCCACCTGGGACGATGCTGGGTTATATATTTATTTGCTCAACAGGCGTTGTACATCTAGGTCTCTTCTTTCTAATAGTCTTTTCACTATTTACCTTTAGTCTTTCCTGAGGCGTTTTCTGACCTCATCAAGATCCTAACATCTTGGGGCTTTCGACTTGTTATATTTGTTTTCTTAAGTTCGTCTTATTATTTCAGTAAATTTCTATGTATCTATTGGTACACTGTCCATTTTATTAACTGCTCTACCGCCCTTTCAAACCCAAGCAAATCCATTTCTAGATTTCCATTCTTTGTTATTTGTTTGTTAAGAGATATGTATATCATGTATACGAGTGTGTTCTTAAAGTCAGGTGACTTTTGTAATGGGGCGGGCAATGTACATTCGATTTTTTTTTATGTTGGTACACATGTCCCTAACATATGTTCGCAGTTTCACCCAGTTTGTACATTTACTTTTTTTTGTGAGACGCGTTTTGTGTGCTCGGTGATATTCTGCTATCAAAAAAAAAATATAACAAAGAATTTACATAAAATTTTGTGTAAAAAATTGAATACAGTGCCGCAAAACACCTGAAATGTTGACAACGGCATATGGTGAATCTACTTTGAGCAGAGACGCCGAAAACGTTCAAGAGTTGGAACTAATCTTCTTCTTGACGTGCCATCTCCATCAGTGGAGGTTGGATATCACATTGGCAAATATCTCTCTGACTTCAGCAGATCTTATAAGCTCTTCGAAGTCCATGCCAGTCCACTGACGTATATTCCTCAGCCGTGACAGTTTCTTCCGACCCAGCCCCCGCTTGCCTTCGATCTTTCCCTTGACGATGAGCTGTGCGTATCGGTATTTGTCGTTTCTCACGATGTGACCCAGGTATGCAGTCTTACGGACTTTCACAAGCTTGAATAGTTCTCGTTCAGTTCCCAGCCTGCGCAAAACTTCTTCGTCCGTGTTATGCGATGTCCATGGTATTTTAAGTATTCTGCGATATGTCCACATCTCGAAAGCTTCTAGTTTATTAATGGTTTGTATTTTTAGTGTCCATGTTTCGACTCCGTACAAGAGAGTAGACCACACATAACATTTTGAGAGTCTTAAACGCAGCTCGAGGTTGATTCGTAAGTCGCATAGGAGCTTTCTGAGTCGTACAAAAGAGTTTCTGGATTGTTCTATTCTCGATCTTATTTCTGTGTTCTTATATTTGTTATCTATCCAGCATCCCAAGTATTGAAACCTGCCCACTTCTTCTAGTATCTTTCCATTTATTTGTATTGGTTATGGGACATTCTTTAATTTTTTAATTACCATTACCTTAGTTTTCTTAACGTTTATTTTCATATCGAACTCTTCGCAGGTATTGCTAACGCGGTCGAGGAGTCGCTGCAAACCCACATCCGAGTCGGCGATTAGAATAGTATCGTCAGCGTATCTAATGCTGTTTATGTTCACGCCATTAACTTTGACTCCCTCTGAGATGTCTGCCAGGGCTCTGTCAAATGTAAATTCTGAATAAAGGTTAAACAGCAAAGGGGACAAGACGCAGCCTGTCTAACTCCCCTGCCAATCCCGAGTTGGTAGGACTTGGATCCCTCTATTCTGATTCTAGCGCTCTGGTTACAATATAGGTTCTGTATTAGAGCATTGTCCTTTTCATCCAGGCCCACGCCACGAAGCGACTCTATGAGCAGATCGTGTCTCACTCGATCGAATGCTTTTTCGAAGTCTATGAGGCAGATGAAGATGTCTCGTTGTTGATCATAGCATTTTTGCGCTAGCACCAGTAGGCTAAACAAAGCCTCTCTCGTGCCCATTCCGCTCCTGCGGTTATGAATTATGAATTTATGAGTTATGAATTATTTTCAGTAGGACTTTTAACGCATGACTCATTAAACTAATTTGGCGAAAGTCTCCGCAGTCTTTGGGGTTTGTTTTCTTTGGCAATGGTACGAAAATTGATTAACCATTCTTGAAGTATTTTGCCAGTTTCATAAATGCGGTTATAGAGAGCGACAAGCAGGTCGATGTTTTCTTCGCTTATTAGCTTTAAGATTTCGGGTAATATTTCGTCTGGCCCTGGGCTCTTGTTTGCCTTGAGTTGTTTTATCGCGTACTCTACTTCGGTTTTCAGAAGACTTGGTTCTTCCGCGTTCATGTCCGTCTGGTAGGGCTCTGCTCTGGCGCCTTCGAACAGATTCTTGATGTATTTTTCCCATTCTTGTAGTTTTCCCTCTGTGGAGTCTAATAATTTTCCATCCGAGCTTAATATGTTGTGGACTGCAGTTTTTCTGTTCGTCGCTGTAAAATCTTACACTTTCTTATGTAGGTTGTCATGGCGTCCTTGCAATTCCTCTATTTCCGAGCATCTGTCTTCTATCCAATGTTCCTTGACACTTTTTATTTTGGTGCGGATTATTCTGTTAAGATGTCTGTACTTATTTATGTCATTAGCGGCTTTACATTCCCTCCGTGAGTCCATCAGATTTAAGATTTCCCCTGTCATCCACTCTCTCCTATTTCTTTTAGGAGTTGGTTTCAGATTTGCTTCAACGGCCCCATTTAAGTGGAACAAATGGTGTTAAAAAATTGTCGAATCACTATTACTGAGACGTCGGCGTGCTATGCAGTTTTTTTCGAAATTTTGGGTATGAAACGTGTAGCAGCCAAATTTGTTCTGAAACTGCTTAATTTTGAACAATAGGACTATCGAAGGAGCATCGCTCAAGAGCTGTTAAATGACGTCGAAGATGATTCTGATATGCTCAAAAAGGTCATAACTCGTGACGGGTCATGGATATATGGTTATGACGTCGAAACCGAAGCCTAATCGTCCCAATGACAGAACCGAGAATCGCCAACATCGAAAAAAGCCCTTCAACGTCGATTGAACGTGAAGAGTTCTTACTACAAGGTAGTACGTTCAATAAAGAAGTTATGTGCGGCTTCCGAGAAGCAATACGAAGAAAACGTCCGGAATTGTGGGAAAACAATTCATGGATTTTGCATGACGATTAGCGTTGCCCAAATGTAAGACCAAGGCAAGACTTAGCCAGCCTTCGTCTTTGTCTTGCACCAATACACTTGGTCTTGGTTTGGGTATTACACTCCCGTCTGGATTGGAGATGAATGCTGGAATTATAATGATTTAAAATAGACACTATTTTTTATAATCCCTTCGCTTTGTACCAAATTTTGAAGATTGTGCAGTCTATCAGTGTGACCGAGATCTATATGATCGCAAAAAGAACGAAACGAAGCAATCTCGAATTGACAGTTTCTTTAAGCCAAAAGTTTACTTTAATATTTCTCACTATATTGATTACGTATTAAAATTTTATAATTATTATTAAAAGTAACTAGCAATTTCATAAGTGCATATATAATTATTTTAACAACTTACTTTTGATAATAAAGTATGTATATCTTTTGTTGTAAATGCATTTTTTTTTAAATTTCGAGTTGTTGTGGATCCTAACCCTTGAGTTTTACATGTAAAAAAAAAGTTTCGATTTACGTCGCGTATTTTGAGAACCTAACATGCCGTAAGTATGAGGACCGCTTGTATTTATTTTTTGCCTTGTATCCACTGCCTGGAATGACACTGAGACCTAACTGCAAGACGCAAGAGTCTGGCAGTCTGAGTCTTGTTCTTGCTCAAGTCTTGCATAGTCAGTCTTGGTATTGGTCTTGCCAAAATTAGGCGGTCTTGGTCTTGGTCATGCAAAAATGCAAGAACAAGACCAAGACCTATTTTGGGCATCGTTGCTTGGGGGGGGGGAGGATTGCTTTGAAGGGGACGACATTAATTTTGATAAATAAAGAAATACTTTTTGATAAAACTTAAACACACCTTTTATCCTTTTATTATTTTTGAAAATATGTTTTTATAGATAAAAATCAGTATAAGTCAAGTCAATATGTACTTCACGTTTGATTCACAAAAGCAATAGTCTCACCAGTAAATTAAGAATTACTGCGACAAACCATTAATCACAGAATTGCGACTAACCTGTCAGATTTGCAATTTTGCCCACGGAGTGGGAGGAGTGTTATTTGTTGCAATTGCTCTGCAATTACTTCATACTGTGCGACAATAATTACCCTGCATTCCCCCCACCCCCCTTAGTTTTCCATGTTCTGTAGTCCAGGTCTCTCTTATATTCTGTGGTCTTACTTTGAAATTTTTTACTCTTTGTTCGTAAAACATTATTGTATTCTGTCTGCATTTGGACCTTCCGTCTTTACTCCATCCTCTAAAAAGAGCCACTGTGTTCTCGAAAAACTACAGGATTTATTGACAGTTTCCTGGGGCTCATTTAATTGAATTTTGTTGAATTAGTCATAACTGGCTGCTCCCTTGTATTGCGTAGCTAGTTAGGAGATGTATACGTGTGCTGTTATCTCTCATGGAACATTAAATGGATAGTGGTTTTAAAATTATCGTATTTATCCTCCGATGATGCAAAAATTTTGAAACCTATGTTTGCTTTCAGTTGTAAAGTTGGTTTGCCGTGTAGTTGCAAGCTGCAACTTCTGCTGCAATTTTCCTGCAATGTGCTAGATGGGTTTAAAAAGTCAAAAGCTATTATTATTTCATGTTTCTCGAGTGACATTCTTCAATAGAGAAATTTGTGTCGCACTTCGATTTCGAACCCGAAAGCTTTTCCTTTGAAGATTCGAATGATTCTCAATATCAACATAAACCGTTCCAAAAATTACTTCCGAAGTAAATTCACATTTTTTTCCGCCAGAGGCTCATCGATATGTAAAATTGTCAATAGCAATTAGATCGGACCCGGTACAAAGAGCGGGTGCAATTTTGCGGTCGCTGTCGAGCCGGCACGTGCCCGGTGTCTCGGGAATCGACACGTGCAAAACCAGGACTAAAATAACGTTGCGAGTCGTCGCAACCCTCGCGTTTCTATTTTCGGACGTAAACGATCGCGAACGTACGCAACGTAGCGCGACACCCTGTAGAAATACTTTAAGACAACCATATAATAATAAAAGCCTCTTATTGTATAATGTACTATCAACGAGCGTATATTACAACAAATTGATCGGGTGCAGTATAGCTTAAAACTACTTCACTGAACTGGACGTTGACATGTTAAACCAAGACATTTAAGTTTAGACATTACGCGTTCGAGCAATTCATAACAATACAAATTTTAGCCTTTTAGGGTCATTACCTATATAAAAAAAATCCTCTAAAAACCAAAAACAAACCGAATTTAACATAATTTTTTATATGAAAGTTTAAACACTGCTTCATACGGAAAATAACGACGAAACATGGTGGTCAAGGGGTCCGTCAATAATTTTCATTAAAAAACTAACTAAAGATGAGAAGTATGATCAAAGTTTCGGATCCCATAGACAAAACGGAGACATGAGTTTTGAACTCTTTGTATTCCAGTTCGACTCTCATGATCCAAGAAAACCGTAGACAAAATCACAATAATTAAAGTTAGATAAGACAAGTGACAAGTTTCTTTTCATACTTTTGCGTAGCGTATGCCTGTTGTTATAAAGCAACTTTAGTGATTGTTTTGAAAATATGTTCCTTAAACCGAAGTTGAGGATCCAATGCAACCCCCACATTCTTTGCAGTGGCTACAAATTTTAATTTAGTGTCATTAACTTTAATGTTAAGTCCACCGACTGAAGGCATAGTTTTGTTTTTATTTCCGAAAATCATGGCGCACGATTTCGTAGGGTTTAATTTGAAGTTGTGGCCACTAGAAAGGTCACTCATAATACGTAGAATCGTCGGCATCAAAACAAAAGTAGAGCTGCAAATGCCTGTTCCCTATCCTGTACAGAACGGAGTTCAAAATATGAACAGTATAAACTAAAAAGAGCAATGGTCCTAAAATGGAGCCTTGTGGGACTCCAGAAAGCAACCTGATCTGAATCTGTATTATTAGAGAATATTCTTTGAAACCTGTTTGATAGATATGATCTAATTAAACTACACGATGCTGATGAGAAACTATAAAACTTTAACTTACTTATAAGCAGACTGTGATTATTGGTGTTAAATGCCTTTGAAAAATTTAAAAGTACTAAAAACATTAGTCAATGCAACCGAAATACCAAAATGTTCCTTGAAGCGGCACTGCACAGTCAGAATGATATTGTTGTTTATAAAATAATTGTTAATTTAAGCATACAAAACGTTCTCAAATATCTTTGAAATTGCTGGTAGAATGCTGATTATTCATTGATCATTGAGATGGTTAGGATTATAGGAAAATATCGACAGGAAAACCACTGCCAAAAATATTTTCCATATATCGGGGAAGTAACTCTGTTCCAAGCAACAGTTTATAATATGTGTTATATATTTATCTATTAAAGGACTAAAATATTTTAACATTAGTGGTGAACTTCGTCGACCCCGCTTGCATGGGATATCATTGAATTTAAAATTTGAATTAACTCAGACCCTTCGGCCATCTTAAAGGAAAAGTTTATGTGATTGCTGTATTTTTGAATATCATAGTAGTTAACACGCTCATAGTTTGAAATATTTTGAAAAAAAATCGGATCAAAGAGTATTGCCGGTATTGTGATATTTCTTTGGGAACAAATGTTAAAATTTCCGACTGCTAACTATAGTTTGCAAGGATTATTTTCTGCACATAAGCTATAAAATACTTTTCTTTTCTTTGCGAACCTTACTCAAAGTAAAATTTCTTAGAAATTTATAGTTATCCCAGTCCCTCCGTAGTCAACTTCCCTTTGAAGTTTTTCAGAGCAGTGTCACGTTGTTCCATAAAGATTTTTAAGTTTGATGTTATATACCATGGTGCCTTGGGCATGTTCATCAAAAAGACACTTGATGAGATTACTTAAATTCTGGACTTTACTATCGATGTCATTTTCATATATTAATTTTAATTATAAATCAATTCCGGATCACAAATATTGCATTTAGTAAAATTCTTGTACTCTCTGTAACCCTGGTAGCTTCATTTATTATCTGTACAAGGTTATAATTTTCAAGAATTGAAAACGGATTATTCAAATTGTTATAATTTTATCTTAAAGTCGCCAAAGTAAAATATATGATCAACAACTGGATACAAACTAGAGAAAATGTTATCACCTGGAATTAGGTCACTAAAATTTCCCAAAGTTGGCTTGTAGAAAACCATAAGGGCAAAAATTTTATTGTTTCTTTAGTATTGAAGATAAGATATTCAAGTTGCACACTCGTGAGAAAATCCAGCTGAATTATTTCAACGTTAAAAACTATAGTTGATATTTTTTTCCCGATGCCCTCTGGAGCGATTTTTTATCGACCATGTGCCGCGAAACAAAAGATGGATGCGGGACCACCACCACCTTAACCCGTTGGAAGCCACGCGGGTGACGAGCGAGAATAGAACGACTGGCACAGATGTCGGACACATGAAGCGCCGGAAAAGATCACCTTGTATATGTGACTTAGGAGGTGCCCGAAATTTGTTTGCATCGAGAGAAAAAAAAACGAGTAAACCGGAAATTCTGCGAATGTTGGTCGGTGATTTTGTTCCTAGCAGGAAGAATTTTTTTTTTCGTTAAAGAAAATTTAATCGTTGTTGCCAAGTGCTTGTCGGGTACTATTCTGGCTATGATGGCGTGATTGTTGACTATCTGTACCTGAACGCTTTTTCTTGGGAGTTCGTATTATTTATTTTAATTATGTCCATCATCAGCATCAGCTCTTTTTTTCGCGTCAAAGGTAGGAAATTTTGCCTTCGTTGCTAAGTGCCTTCTGCGTACTATTCTAGCAATGATGGCAGTCTTATTGCCTAGCTGTATACCTCTCCTTTCTCTACTCTTTTTCTTAGTTTTTGAGGGTTGCATTTGAATGATCCTTTTGATCCAAAGCCACAGCTGGAAGGACTGAAGTCTCGTTTGTGTTGTTTCGTTATTAATTAGAAATACATATGTAAACTGACCTCAAAATATTAAGACAACTCAAATCGTTTATACACAAAATCTGACATCTTACTGATTTACAGGGTATTTTATTTAAAAATTATTTTTTCCCTATACGTTAAAATATTTGGCGGTATTTTAGATACTGTACGCCTCACTAGGTTATGCTAAGTAAGCTACAACCAATTTTGTGCCTTTTCTGGAATTGGCAATTTAGTACATTTTTTTGATTCCCCAATACTTTATACGCAACTTTTTGTAAGATAAAATTATTTTGATATGTACGTGAGTAGATACTTATTATTTAGTTTACTTAGTTTTTGCTCCTTAAGATAAAAATGTCATTCTAATTTGTATATTAATTATATTTATTGTAATACCTTTCAATGAACACATGCGTTCAACATCTAAAAACAAATTGCAGTTCTTCAAAAATAACAAAACATTTTCTCACAATTTAAATTGAAATGCAACTTTAATAACACAAACATGTCAAAATAGTAAATCATGCAACACGTGTGGTAAACGGCACTTAAGTCATGAGTTTATTTGGCACGAGCGGAGCGAGTGCTTAATAAACGAGTACACGTGTTGCATACTATACTTCTTCTACGACCGTTTGTTTTTGCGTACATACCCCCGTCTGTAAAATACCTAATTACACACCGATCTTTCATGCGGGAAGCATCGTTTCACCATGTCAGTTTCGTTTCCCACGGATCCGAGCCACTTCGGACATTTCCGGGATTTTACCGCACGGGTTTGGGAACAATCGGATGCTTTCGAAGAAATTTCCCACGCTTTGAATTTTGACGTTTGTCAGTTCTGACGGTCCTGTCACTGAATGTATTCGTGTTTTTGTGCAAAAATGTACCCTAAACCTAATACACAGAAAAATGTTATGCAATATATCAGACAATTTAAATACTACGTGTTATAAGCTACAATTAAAATCTAGTAGACTAGTCGGGAAGTAAAGTGACATTTATAATTTAAGTTTCCCACAGAACTTTTACATACCGTTCGCATGAAATTTAGTGGTTTTACATTTTTTATATTAATATCTTACCAAGACCAATTGTACTATTTTCAAATATCTTGGATGATTTTTTTCCAATTGTAGTCTCTTTCTCTAAACAAAGTATTTAATGCACAATTGTAATAGTTAAATAAACAACATAACGTTTTAAAATTGTGTTTATTCCGTTGTTTGTATGACATATCCAATAACACATCTCTCTTTGTCTAACGTACACAGTTAAAAAGAGACAACAATAGCAGAACCAATCGGAGCGGTAAACGAATAGGTTTTATGACAACGAGTAAATATTTTAGTAATCCGATAATCCGATAATCTGTTATTATTTTTAATTTGTTAATTTGTGTTTTTTTCGTTATGGTCGTAGAAAAAGTATAGTATGCAACACGTTCGGTAAACTCTTTATCGCACACGCTCCGCTCGTGCCAAATAAACTCGTGGGTCAAATGCCGTTTACCCCATTCTTTGCATATTATACTATTACCCAACGTGTTGCGTACTATGCTTTTTCTACGACTGTTCGTTTTTGGTCACAATTATTCAAAATAACACGAATGCATTAAACGTCAAAATTGAAGCCGTGCGGTAAGAAGGATGCTTAAAATTTTGTTCTTAGCTTTTGCTTTTATAGAGTTTACACATTTTGACGGAGCAGTATGTTGGTTTTTATATCCATCCAACATTTGATTTGCTGAGTTTTCCCGCTGTTGTTTACGAACGTTCTTAGGAAGATAAATTTGGAGCCCGCGTTAATGGTTATATTTTTAATACTGATTTTTCTTTCCTTTTTTATTTTTTATTCACTGTGTCCATTAAATGCTGTAAACCACCACTTGTAAATATGACGGTACCATCGGATATTCTATATATAAAATATGAACTTTGTTTCTTGGTTCTTCTATAATTTAGGTATTTAATATTAATAGTTTAATGATGTATAACGCTGCATTACTTGGATATATCCCTAGGACTATTTAGGACTCAAAACGAACGTAGTTTGTTTGAAACAAATGTAATTTCTCAAATTTTGTACACAAGACCGAGATTGAACATAATAAAAAACCCTATGAAGAGAAAACCTCCAACGAAATTCGAATAATATGAAGCATTTGCTTTGATAGGACGTGATGTTATTGTCTTTAGAAAAGGAAAACAGCCTTACTGCTAAATGAAATAAATCTCCGCATAGATAGAATTTATAGAAAATGTCGCACGGCACCCCCTACCAGCGAATTTCTGACGCTGTTATACAGGAATTGCCGTTGATTTTGTGGATAAATGTGTAACGAACGACTGGTGGCCCCCTCTATTAGCCAGTGGCCACACCGAAGTCGACAAAGGTTTCTCCGTGCCTATTGCACCATCTTGCAGGCTTTAAGTTGAGAGCCGCGCCTAAACCAAGATTTAGGAGCCCAGCCCATCACGTCGCTTTGCGGCTAATAGATCGCACCGCAGTAGTTTTCTAGTATTATGCAACCAAGTACGCAACTAGATTGATTGCAACAATGTGAAGGTAAACAATTAAAAGCAACTAAAAAGGTCTTTTATTAAAAATATTACTTGGACAACTTCAATTAAAAACAATAGAGAGCAAATAATAATAATCGAGACTCCGCGAGGTTAATTTTTCCAATTCGAGTCGAATCCCGCGGAATCAGAATCTGAATCGTTTCGCGCTAAAGACGAAAAGCTCCTCGTGGGCGTTTTGGGAGTGGTGGGGGTACTGCTCAAGCCCGAATCAAGCGCCCGTTTCGACTTTTTCCTCGTCAGGTACCCCTTGGGGCCAGCGCCGTCCTGCGAAACCACGGAAACCGGTACCACCGAACAGACGGCCCTTTGCCCTTTCCTACATACCTTGTTGACGTTATCGGCCGAGCCCCATCCCTTGTGGACTTTGTCCACGAACGGATCGACGGGGTTGACGATGCTGCAGGTATTGTTACCTACCCCTAGGAAGTTGCTGAACGCTTCCGTTGTCTTCTTCACTCTTACATTGAAGGAACCTATCCTTAGGAACCCTAGATCCTTGTCTAGGGAAACGCCATGTTATATAGCAACGGTGTTACGAACTAAAGCGGGATATTGGATTACCTGATTGTTTTTTGCGTCCCTTAACTGCTGCAAAAGAAATAATACCAGGCACTGTGAATCGAAACTTTATTCACGATGTTTATTTTTACATGCGTGGATAATACTGCTAAGTATGTATAAAATACTGTATAAGATAAAATGCTGCCCTGAACCACTACAGAAATAATAACTAGCGATTAAAAACTCAACGACTAACAAAATAAAATATGAATATAAATAAAATCAAACTAAAAGCGATGTAGTACGTGCGGGTGAGGTATATGGTAGGTAAAACAAAGCAATGGCCTCCCTGTTTTCCTAGGTGGATCCTATTTTGCTTACAGTTTTACACCTGATGCAAGTCTTAACGTTCTTACACTAGTAGAGTTAAAAACAAGCAGATAGTCTACTAGCAATACCCATAATTAACAAACTGGACCAGCAAAATTGCCTGAAAGTTCGATGTAACTGAATTTTGAGATGCCACCAATAGTGAAGAAGTGAAGTGAAGAATGAAGAAACATTTGTTCACATCACTACTAGAGTGCGGTTTGAAAAATTGTTCGATGGCAGGAAATACATATAGATTTTGTGGTTTGGTGGAGTCTGCAGTGTCTTAACGGGTAAAGGAACACTGGTTAATGAAAGCGTTTCAGGAGGTTGTGGAATGGTAATAATATGCAGATCTTCAGCAGCTGTCACTTCACCAGGTCTCTAAATTACTTTCCTGGAATTAGATATAGATTAATGGGAATAAAGAGCAAATCTTTTAATTTTCTTTCATTTCTAAAATTTTGTTGCGGTAAGTGTTAACTACTATTTTAGTAGGAAGAGAACACAAAACTAAGAAATTTAGCAGAAACCGAGCAAATTAAAACTTTTAGACTATGGTTTAAGTTTATGCAACAGTGGAAACATAGTTCATTTTTCTGTTGCACCTTATGGTTTGTATAATACGCATTATACGCGTAAACCAATGAAAATGACAAAAACCAATGAGGCCCTCAATGGTTTCTGCAGTTTCAATGAGAAAGTCACTGTAGACGAATGACCAGAATTATGTGAAAATTAATGAAAATTGTTTTTTCCGCGGTGTCTAATGGTGACATCTCCAACGTTGCTGGTCTGTCTGTCGACTTACTCCAGAGTACTTCTTGGCCAATAGGAAGTCAATAAAAAAAAAATCAAAGCTCTACAGAACATTAGTAACCCGCGTCTGATATGCCGATGTAAAAAGACTAGATATTTGACTACTGTACGGTCGGTATAAAAGCGCTACTTGGTGACGTGGTAGTTGTGATAAGTTGCGAAAAGCGGTGTCGTCGGCGCGGGAAGGGTGTTAGCGGCGTAGCGGGATGTGGGCAGGGAGATCGGCTTGTTGCGGAAGCTCATGGATTTCCGCGCCGGTTTCCCGTGCCCGGTTTTCCCTGATGCGCCGCCGGTCGCGGCCGTTGCCTCACGATACTCACTGCGCAGCGTCACGCCGCCGTTTTCCTTTTGCTCCTTGACGATGAGGTAGTACTCGGCGGTACGGCCGCTGTAGTCCCGCACGTTTGGGTCGGCTTCTGGAAGGTAAGTAATGAAAGAATTCAGCACCAGTTCTTGAGGTACGTCCTATAAAAATTTAATGTCGAGGATTATAATTAGCAGGACCCGGAAGCCACCTTTAATGTAAAGACTTTGAAAAACAGTCGTGTAAACAAGTGTTTCATAACATTCTGCAAAAACACGACATGCGCCTTCTCTATCTATTACTACTCGAAGTTATCGTCATAATACATTTCTTATTAGATAGGCCAGACTTTTCAATGGGTATAGTGGGGACAAGTTACGTCATTAATTATTTAATTCTAATTATTATTTTATAATATAATAATAATAAAAAATATTATCTGATTAATACAATAACAGCGTTTTATAAATACTTTTCTGAAACTATAATATATAAAAATCGATTGGGACATGGAAATGGTAACGGATAGACTCTACTACAATAGATCCGCCTTAGTCGAATTGAACAGAGGAGAAATAAGCGAATATCTTTGATATCACGATACCACTTCGATGATAACGTTAAAAGAGCGAGAAACGAGAAGTTAGATAAGTATCAGGAATTGGCGCTAGAGATAAAAAACTCATACGGGTTTTAAACTCTTTCAAAATTATACCAATAGTTATCTCCGCGAATGCCCTAATTGACAAGCAGCCCCCGAATTCCTGAAGCAAGCTGAACTGTCGGACTCGAAAACAATTATAGAGCCCTTGTCCAAAAGCTGTAAATGTAGCACAGTTAGAAGAGTTCTTGCCCGGAAATAAACCGTTGACTAAGCCTAGTCCCGTTTAACATGAAACACACCGACGCAAGTGGTGGTTTTAAAAAAATAAATATAAATAATAATAATAGATTATAACATATTCGCATAACAAAACTATAGCAGACTTTTATCAAAGTCACCCATTAGGGAATTTCCCAGACATGTTTAAGTCTCAACATACCTGGTAGTTTACAATTTGGATATCCAAGCATATTCAGAATAAAGATGAAGCAAATAAAGGTGTAGAAAGTAGCAAGTAGCAAACTCTGAAATAATTGAGACTGCAGGAAATCCAGTTTAGGTCTACGTTTGAACTCGCAGCAGGTATGGTCGAAATATTATGAGAGTATGTTCATTTCTGTGCAGTAAACGTTAGTGATGTAAATAATAACCTTAAATAAAACCTTGTTGAATAGATAAGGAGGAAACTTCTTTTTAATGGTGGTTTGTATAATGAAAATATGCCATATGTATAAAAAAAAAGCCATCCTTAAATTTGAAAAACGGTGACGACCTCGGACCACTTGAACTAACTTTAGGCATGAATCTTGAAGTTTTTGTACACGTCTGATAAAGCATTGACTGTAGCAGTAAATCACTTTTAATGTACCACAGGCTCTTCCAAGCTTATAAGTCACACACACATTTCGCAGATTTAAATCTGTTAATCTCAAAGTTATTTCCAAAAACGACTTTGTTCTAATTTGTTGATGGTTATCCTCATCAAGAGATAAAATATATAAAGATGATATATATAAAATGTTCAAGTGACCAATGAAATTAGCAAATATAAATAGTATAGACCAGGGGTCCCCTGATGCTATCTTGAGGTATTCCGGATTTAACGTCGCTGCTATTTGAACTTGCTGAGTTCGATTAGACAAGAATGATTTTTGCGAACTATGGGCACTGTCATTCCACCACATAAAACTTAATCTAGATAATAAATGGTTACGCTTTTAAGAGGCTAATTAAAAGCAATATAGATCAATAATGGGCTTTTTATTTTATTTTATTAAATTTGGATTTTGCCTTAACTCGTTCCAATTGATTTTTCATCTTACATAACGTAACTTCAAATTAAATGTTTAATTACCGTACTTACTATAGACTTCGATGAGCAGCTTGAACAGGTCCTTGTGGCCGAATTGAGCAGATATATGCAGCGGCGTATAACCCTGAAAGCCAAAGATGTTCATCATAGGGCAGAAAATCACGAGAACCAATGTAAATTTATTTCTTTTCCAGTGTAGCCAATCCAACAACTCAAATGTTTAAAATTTAATTTTTAGCGTGGTGCGTTTTATCCACGTCACTCTAAACTTGACCCAAAACTACTATATGGGAACCAACGAATTCGGCCGCGTGATAATGAAAAACCCGCTCGATTCCGACCAAACAAATATGTTTACAATTTTTATGGGCCCGTTAAAAAAGTGTCCGTGAGAAAGGGGTTGCCATATTCTCGCCGGATTTTTCTAATTCTTACATGAACGGTGGCCATAAAAATCGTTATGGAATGTTTCCGAGGTCCTTTTTTTAAAGCCGCAGAGCACAACGCCACACTCATAATAGAAGGGATTTTTATATAATTTTCTACGAACGCCTCTTATTAATACCTCTGGGGTCTCGTCTTCAAGCAGGTCCGTACCGAGCGGGATCATCGGGATACGTTTCTACGTTAACGAGACTTGGATTTTGTATGAAAAACTTCCGCTTAACTCACAATGGGCACGAGCAATTAAAAGAAGTAGACATATTACCCGACAGGGTTGCGTAATGTCGAAACTGGGGTCCGTATATAAAACAAAAATGAATCCGGACCTGCACGTGACCGGTAGCCGGCTACTTGTCAACGTCTCGGGGACTGACGGGCCGAAAAAGCGACGTTGCCGCGTTGATGATAACTATACAGGCCGGGCACGGGATTCCTCCCGGGATCCGATGTCACTGTCCGGATTAAGATTTCGAATAATAAAGGGAGATAACGACGTGTTTGACGGCGTCCCATTATCGCGTCCATTTTGATGGGCGTAATAGATGTAGTTGGTTGAATTTACAGACGATCGATTTGACGATGGCTACTATCATTGGAAGATATTAAAAATAACAACCCCAGTTGGGAAAACGAATAAACTGTAATTATATTTTTTTTAGAACGCTACAGTGTTTAAATCTTGCTTTAAACAGAATTTTAAGTTGCCAAAATATGGCCACGGAATTCATCAGCCAAATCTGTAGCAGATCTGCTACGCTACAACAAAATGTCGTAAGAATAATGGTGGGTCTACTGACAGGACAATGCCACGCAAAGAAGCATCTAAACCTAACGGAAGTCGAAGAAAATACTGAATACAGACTCGATCAAGAAGAGGAGGAAACAGCCACACACCTGCTAATTTGTGCGGATGCTTTTTCACCTCCAGGGTGTAATCTAACCAAAGGGAATGAGCTACTCCAAGAAGCCGCTATGAAAGCTGTGTTATGAGTGACCAATTCCTTGTTGGGTTAGTTTCGGTTCTCTTTGGGTTCCGAACAAGAAAAGTCACCCTCAAGACTGAACAAAAATGTTCAGAAATCGATTGAAAACAAGCTAATAATGGAAATTTTTGTATTAAATGCATCAGAAAAAAATTGACGTTTGGATACTTAGGACTGAAACAGAATCAATATACTTACCCCGTTCTGAGTCCAAGCGAAGCCAGCGAAGCGATAACCATGAAAATAAAAAAGTGATATTATTATTCGTTTAATGGACTGGCATTGATCCAAGAGTCCTACGGCTCGAGTTTGCGTCAAAGGACCCTTTAAACCAATAGCATCGTCCGAAGAACGAAATCGAAGAGGGTTACTTACTGTTTTTCCGTTCACGTCCACCTTGTACTTCCCCGCGAAAATTTTGACGATCTCGACGTTGCCATATTTCGCGCCCCAGTGCAACACGGTCTGCGAAAAACAAATAACAACGTGTGACGCCCATAAGAGGGGGTTCGCTAAAAAATGTTTTATGCAGAGGTTGGCGGTATTAACTAGGGAACAGTTTCGAAATTAATTGGGTCTTATGCAAACTGTCTAGCTGGTTGTTTTTGTGGAAAGTCAGCGTTATCCATATAATTTGAAGTTAATAACCTCAGTGTTACTGTGCTCTTGAATGAATTTAATGTTACTAATAGATAACACAGTATAAGCACTTTGAAGTATAAATTAATCAATGGTAACGCTGGTTTATGAACGCTGGTTTAGTATATTGATTTTTCAAGTTTCCTGTAAGTTTTATTGCATTGTATTGTATTTTATTGTTTATTGGAAATTGTTTATTATAGTCTTGATTTTTAAAGTTTATTCTGTATTTGGATTAGTCACCCTTTTCTATTGCATTCGATGGCTAAAAACGGTAATAATTTGCTAAAATCGGAGTAATAATTTGTGTTAAGTGTGACTTAAGGTAAATAAGACGAGTTTTTTGGTTTAAAGTAGTAAATTATGTGTATATTATTTTTTACGTTGCGTTTAAGCTTAAATATTAAAGTACTTTTTGTACTCCCGTCTGTAAAATACCTAATTACACACCAATCTAGCGTGCGGGAAGCGTCACTTTACCACATCAGTTTCGTGGGGGGTTTGGGAGCAATCGGATGTTTTCGGAGATATTTCCCACGCCTTCAATTTTGACATTTGTCTATTTTAACGATCATGTCAGTGAATATATCCGTGTTGTTTTACGAAAATGTTTCCGTAAAAACTAACGGTCGTAGAAAAAGTATAGTATGCAACACGTTCGGTAAACTTTTTAACTCGCTCGCTCCGCTCGTGTCAAATAAACTCGTTTACCGCACTTGTTGCATAATATACTAATTATTAACCATTGGCACACTTCAAAGACTTATTGTAGACATAACGCCACTTTCATAATAAATTAAACGAAATCCTGGGGATAGTTTGCAAACTACTTGGATGCATACATACTAACCAACATCTGAAGTTAACTAATCCAAGGTTGGGTTTAATCCTAATCCTGTCATTTAGTATTCAGTTTAACTGTGTATACTGTTTCAAGGATCAAGTAATATCTGAAAAGTGAAAGCAGAATAGAGAAAATAAGATTATCATTATCCAAAAAATATTTTCGGGTTTAATTATTTTTACTTTTGGTCAATTTTTGCTTGCGAAGTGTGTTAGTTAAAAGCGAACATTTTGGAATCTCTAAATTTTCTGAAACACCTTTCATATAAACGACTTGGAAAATTGAAGTTTCTAATTCCCCAAATAGAGTTATTAAGTTATTTCTAAAATAATCTATATATAGAATGTATAGTGGAAATATAAAGGTCGATTTCGAAGACATTTTGTTAATAGACCTCTGCTCTAAACATAACATAAAATCAGGTTCGTTTAAAGGGCAAATTTCGTTGGTTGGTTTTCATCGCGTGGTACACACACATTCTGCCTTATGAACTTGGGAAAGCACCATTGATAAAACATTATTTAGGTTAGTTGCGGATTTGTAGGCATTGCATCAATGACTCGTCGGGTCTCCTTTAGATATAATTCGTCACTTTCCAAATACTCACATATATTTATTCTTTAATTTCCTTTAAAAGGCATCACAGTTGATCAAATTTTTCGGTCCGTGTATATATTTTCTTTATCTCGATCGACGTCCGCGGGTTTTTTTTTGGAGCGGGGAGCGGGCGGCGCCGATAAAAAAAAAGTGGCGATTCCAATCGACAAATGGCTTCCCGCGGCCCCGAAAACTATGTGACAATTTGCAAAACATTATATATATGGCACCGTCCGATTCGAATTTATGTATTTATGTCGCGTCCATTCCCGTGTTTCGCCTTATCTGATACAAGCGGTATCTGCGGCGGCGATCTGCGCCGTATATGCCCACATATTTTGGATTCCCCTCTTTTCCTTTTTTTTTATTTCCTTTACAACGTACCCCGTCGAGAGCGCCTGCCTCGCGAGCACTATCTGATGTTTAAATTATGCCCAAAAGACAAAAGGATTAAAACGATATTTAACCGGCGCGGGAAGTTACGATATATATATATATGTATAGGAGAAGAAAAGTTTCAGCAGACCGATGCTGAAAACTTTGAACCAGGAAACTTACGGCCCTAGTTTCCAACTTTTCTTGTTTGTTGCTAACGATATCGAGTTTTTTGCCCAAGAAATGAAGGAAACCGTCGTAAAAAGTCACTCCACCGAATATTTCATCTTTGCGTCATCAAATTCTGATCCAAGCACGAACATTAGGATTATTATTGCTCCCATTAAATTCAATACGGCGATGGCAGCTGTACGTTACTGATCTAAAAAATATAATCGACTACATACAGAATTAACACAAAAATTAGACCAAGAATGTAGTGGATCTTTTTGAATTTAAAAAAGAACTCAGCAGGATCACTTCACAAATACACTGTTGAATATGCTCGTCACACATTTATTTAAATAGTATATGATACAATAGGTTTGAAAAACAACAGTTTAGTCACGAGTGAGGAGCACAGTTGACGTGTGTTTAATAAAAGAGCGTCTGAAGAAGTTTATCAGTTTATTTTTTGAAAAACGTCAAAACCATCAGTATTTAAAATCTTTCTAATCCGCTCGCTACCAAAGCCGTGACTAAATTATCGGAAACGCCGGAAGTGACTGGCGACAATGGATAACGAAGTTGACGTCTTAACGTGAGACTTTGTACAAGCCTGATTCGTGGATAATTACCCACTAGGGTAGAGAAAAAAGCTTGGTTTAGGTTAAAACTACTTTTTCAGAATCGTCAATTTGTGTTTAGATCTCTCTTCAATGTTTTAAAGGAACTTCCGCAGACTACTGGAATACAATGCTATTTACAAATCTCTACCTCTTTACCCGGTACATTCAAAAAAATCCGACTGTCACTAAGTACTCTATTCGCTTTTTAGTATTTCATTATCAGTGTATTATTTTCAGCGGCCATGTTAATAACTTGAATATTAGATTTATTGATAACATTACACCACGATAATAAGATGCTGATGCTTAAGTGTGCGATTCCTGATTACAGGGTGTTGAAATAAAAAAAGCGGTTATCCCTCATTTTCATTAAAACCACTTTACAGAGGTCGAGGTGGCGTCGCGGTAAAAATTTTATAGAAAAAAATGGTACGCCACTACATTTTTCAAGAATAAATTTCATTTTGCGATTAATGTCTCAGTAAAAATGTTCGCTCGACTCTGTGTCGTCTGAGAAGGGGTTTCAGGCGAAAAATTAAAAAGCAATAAAAATCTTATTTAATTATTAGAAAATAAAAAAGTAGCATTAAACATTGTGAATATTGTTTCCACACAATCAAGCAAGCATCAAAAACATTTTCAATGAAAATGAAGAAAAGATATTTTCAAAAATAGCGATTGCGGACTTACATTTATATAAACTTTATATAAACTGAGCATTTTTCTGAATTTTGCAAGAAAGACATTGTTATAATTTCCTTGAAGGATTTTTTTACTATAAAATGGTGAAAATCAATGTCACAAATAACAAATTCGCACTATGGTTAGGGCCATCACTACATATTATGAAATAGTGCAATTGCGTAAATAAATTCAAATTGTTGGTAATAATATCTAACCCATCACCTTATCCCGTGACTGCTTAGGTGTTTTCTGTTTATCTTTTTGCTTTTTTCCCTTTGTGACCTTTAATCTAACTTAAGCCTTTTGTAACTTTCTGGTCAATTTCCATGACGACGTCGTAAATAACATCGACCTAGTTACCCGCCATTACGTATGGTAAATTTACCGGGTGTGACGTAATGATCGATTCGATATCTGCCGTGCGAAATCTTCCGTTTAATTCCGGGTAAAATTATATACCGCGGGCCGTCGCAGTGTAATTTGGGCAATTTGCTGTCGATGATGACGGTTCGAAAAATTACCAATTCAAATTCGGCGTTGGTTCTCCTCTCTCGTCACACCGACGACAGGTTCAGGTGTTAATTTCCGAATACATATATCGATATCGCACCTTTATCGTCGCTCCGATGCTTCGGCAGGAAGTTATCCGTTTTTTTTTTTGTTATTTATTTGGGCCCTTATCCGCAAGGTGATCGGAGACTAATTGGATGGTGGCCCCCCGCCCCCCTATCGTTCTTCTCCCGCGTCCGTCTTTAATAAATCGTCGATGTCGCGGCACTCATTTCCTGAACTTTTAATTCGGTTGTTCCTCGAGAGATTTACGGCGCCGATCGAAAGGGCCGACGGTTTACAGGGCCTGTTTGCAAGTAAGTAAAATAAACCCTGAAATTCATCGGAGTCTATGAATGGAATATGTATATTACATAGAAACGTTGTCCAAAGTTTTCGTCAAAAATGTTTAGAACTTGTAACAGAAAAGTTCAGCACGACAATGTGCTACCGTTACTATTCTACGTCTTGAAATACCGCAAATTTTGGTTGTGAGGTATTAAATAAAATGTTTTGCGGTTTTCTTAAGTTTTATCAAGTAAGTATATTGGAAACATCAATAAAAAGAGGATGCGCAAACCAACCCCCGCATAAAGCGTGTACATATTACTAAACTTTTCGTATACTTACATACTGTCGAAATTTGTTCCGTAGAGACAATAGGGTGAGGCATGGAAAAGAAAAAAATCTTAAATTAATTAACACGGAAAGCTTGGATATTCACGGAATAGCAAGGACAGAGAAAGAAAATAATAATACATGTTTGAATCCACTTGGAAAAGATGTCCTCATTTGCATTTTATTCTTTTACGGTTTCCTTTACTACTAAGTAGCGGTGATAGTTGAGTCAAAAATAGCTTTAGTAATTTTCTTTTTGACAATAAGATAAAATCATACAACTTGGAAACAATCAACCTAGTATATTACCCTTATTTATCACTATTTTGAAAAAAATTGTTAGTAAGTTTTCCATAAAATGTTTCGCCTAAAACGAAACCAATACAAATTAAAAACAAACCACAGACACATGAACAACAACTATGCAAGAATCGTACCAAAACATATACATATATTTCTATAATGGAAATATAATAATAGGAAATATTTAAAGAAAAACGTATTTTCCTATTCTATATCTTTCAAGCTTTATAATATTAAAAATTCACGTTAATAGCGCATAATTATTTCATACAGGGGATTTTCCAACTCTTAGCAACTTGACGAATTTAATTTTTTTAAATGGAACACACTGTACCTAACTGCTATATGCTGCTGAGCCAGTTCCCCCCTATAAGTTTGTTAACGTTTCCCTATAACTATCGATTGAAGTTTTTTCGCTATGTTTAGTTTTTATTTAACATCAAAATAAGGACAAAGAGAGTAGTTTGACACTCTGTACAGACTAACTAAACTAAACTAAAAGCAATGCACTCCACTCATGCAATTAGATGAGAAATGCCTCAAGTTTTGACCGGTCGCCCCATACGATGGGTAAAACATCGTCCATTACGATGAAAGAAGAACGGTTTTTATTTCGCTTCGATGGTTAATCCGCCGCGATCGGTCTTTGAACAAAGATAACCCCCAAGAATTTAAAATAGCACCTGTAGGACCTTACACCCGAGACACCCGTCTAGGGTTTACCTTTTCATGATCGCCCACGTCCGATCCGATTTCGATAAGAAAAATTAAATGGCGCGTCATTTTAACCCCCGTTGGAGCCGAACGAAACCTTTTATGCACGCCCAAACAGTTCCTAAAAGCTATACGCCGATGCTTCACCAGTAGTATTTTGAAAGACTTTTTCCTTATTCCAAATTGGTGATCACAGTGAAAGTGTCGGACACCAACAAGGTAGGCTCCTGCGAGCTCTCATCTTTACCCAATTACGGTTTGAGCGAAAACTTTAGATTTTTAAATGTCACAAACTATATTTTTTCTCAATTTTATTTAATTTTTGAAAATTGTGTCTTGGAAGCTGCGACCATCAGATCAGATCAGATCAGACCAGACTATGGGAAAAATTGTAAATGAAACTTTTTCTTTACTTCTCTAATGGCAAATAGCATTAAATTAATGAAGTATTAATTTTTTAGGATAACCTGGTTTTTTCAAATAGCACCCTAGTGGCAACAATTTTTTTTTAAAACCGGTACTATTTTTGCAACATTTTGACACCAAAATTTTCAAAATCCGTTAAAAGGAAGGAAAAAACCAGAAAAGCAAATACATTTTTATTAAAACTGAATATTACTTATGTGGCTTTGCTTCTATTCATCATCAAGTCGGCATGATTGAAAATTCTGACAGTTTGTACATTTTTATCTAATTATCGATTTTATCGTGTTATCGATTTTGATTATCATGGACAACAATAATCAATTTACAAATGGCGAAACAATTGATATGTTTCTGATATACGGGGAGCAAGAAAAACTCTCGATTTGAAAAAAGTTTTATTTACAATTTTTCCCATGATCAGGCGACCCAATAAATAGTATTTATGATGGTCACAGCCTCCTAGACACAATTTTCAAAACTTAAATAAAAATTCAAAAAAAAAAAGAAAAACTGTCCTATCCAAAAAATCCTCTGAATCCAAAAATGCAAAAAAATAAGGTTGTGCCATTTAAAATTACAAAGTTACCAGGAAGGAAGGAAGATCCAGACTATATAACTCAAAAACTGACAAAAGAGTACGAAAAACGCTAATTACTGAGAAAGGAAAAGACAATTTGTAAACAGGTAGATCTGGAACTCGAAAACAACATAGCCATCGAATGTTGTGAGAAATACCTAACCACGAACAGGAAATTGAAGAACGAATTAAAAAGGGAAGGAATGTCATCGGAGCATGGAATTTGCAATTTTGGTCCAGGAATATTTCAGATAACAGAAAAAAAACTTATTGTGTGCTCCCGAGAACCTCAACTGAGAGTACTCGCTTGGATAAGCACATTTATATTTGCAGCGACAGTCGAGTGGTTGTCCCAGCTTTGACCTCTGTAAGTGCTACTTGCATTGGACAAGCAGATGTGTGCTGAAGAGCGAGCTTAATCAATGGATTAGGAAGCAGTTCTTTCCGCGTCGAGGACGTTTACCGGGACTGAGGAAGTCAAGGGTTCTAATGGAGCACCTTTATATGATGGCGATGGGCGACGACAATAGAATAGAAGGAAAATCTATTTCATTATTTCGTAATCAGCTGCGCACTACTAGAGGGCAGGCGTTTAAGAGTACTAGAAGGGAACGACCCCGAGAAACTATCCAAACTCTCCATGACAGAGGTACAACCTCGAGAGTTCAGGGTTCTTCTAGGGGTAGGGTAAGCGAAGATGGAATAATAGATTGGAAGGTCGGTAAGGATCTACCGCAGATAGAATAGTAGGAATTCAGCATGATTATTAAAAAGACAGCTTTCGCTATCCCTTATTTTTTTATAGAACGTCGCCTAAAAAATCATCCCCTATATTCGGCGCGCGGTCAAAAAAAAAACACACCGAAACAAAAATTGTCATCGCACGCTGCGATCTGATAAGAGGTGGCGTTTTAGGAGAAGGGGGCGCGGCCCCGCGGGAGGCCCCCCCCGACGAACAGCGGGCAGTCCTAAAACAAACAGCGTGTCCCCCGCGTTATTATATGACTCCGCGGTAAAACGCGTCCCCGCGGCGGCGGCGGCGGCCCCGCGTTCTTTTCTTTCTTCGTTCCGTCTAAAATATGCGTAATATTCCGTGACGTATATATACGACTTTCTTCGTAAAGAATTTTCGTGCGGGTATATACGATTTTTTGGCGAAAAATCTCCAGATTTATGGGTCAGAGATTGCGTTAGCGGCGCATGCGGTAGGATATTCGTCGTTCGTTTTTCGAGAAAACTTACCGCCTGTTTTGGTGTCCGTTGGTGTCATTCCACGCAGATCCGGGAAATATGAAAAATAAGAAAAAAAGTCAATATAATGAAAACGTTCCAATACTAATTATATAATTATTACAATTACGGAGTTTCTAAGCGCGAAATATTGTCATGTTTGAGTTTGGCGTATCTAAGCACCCAAACAGGAATAGCAATGCTGACCGATGAAAACAGTGAATTTTTTTCGGCTTTCTATGCCGACATTCTGGCCTATTGTATGCAAAGTTTGAAAGAGACATATATTGGCGACCATATTGTGGCTGATAAAAACTTTAAGCAATGTGTGCAAAACAAACTAAATTATCAGACTAAATAACACCCAATAAAAAATACAATGGCAATTAAAACAATTACAATACAACTGAATTATTATTGTTGGGCCAGCAAGAAAATATTCTGAAATTACCTTATCTACCTTTGGCTAAATGTAACTAAACCCTAAAAACCAATAATTTTCAATTAATTGCCATTATATTATTTGGCCCAGTCAAAATTGGTTTGAGAATGACCGACCGCAACCTAAACTGGAAATTTCAACCAGGCGTTCCAAAACATTTTACCACAAAAGCCTATATCATAAATGTCGATAAATATCAAAACTACAGAAAGGCAAACTGTTAATTTGTTAATTTGTAAAAAAGAAGAACACAGTGGCGTATCGTTTTTTTCAAGAATACTATTTGATTGAACAAATCTTAAACGTTTATTATTATATGGAAAAAAAAAGATTAGGATTAAGCACGGCCTGTATGTTCGCCGTTAATGCACGACCTTCCGGTATTTTAGCAGACGGATGGAACAAAATCCGGCCCAAAAACCAAAGGGTGTATATTATTTATATTTGAACGGGGGAACCGTTTCTCGTATTCCTTTTGGGCGTCCGGTGCACGCCCATCATTATTAATCATTCGCCATTTCGTTATTAAAGTTATATCAGCGCGCCCGGGTTTATCTGCTCGTATCATCGGCCGACACAAATTCACAGCTTGCCGTTTTTGTCACGCGATCGCAACGCGAGACCAACGGGTGTCTCGGCATTAAAAAAATAAATAAATAAAATGAAATGAAATTAACGGTTGCGGTTGAGAAAACAAACCCAACGGGACTGTTAATAGTACCGAGTGGACAAAAAAAACTATAGGCTATTTCTGGAAAGTTTACAGTAACAAAATGCAAAATTCCGTCCGGTTCCGTTCAGTTTGGATGTTGTAGGTGAACTTTGGGTACCGTCAGGAAAGGGGAGAGGACTTAATAATCGTACATAATGGAAACGAAGATGAAGTTTTGAAAGAAGGTTTCCTCACCTTTCTTTCTTCTAGTATGACATGACCACAAAGACACGAATTGAGATGTATTTGAAAGCCAACGTAAAGACTCTAAATTTATCTTCGAGAAACAAGAAATTATCAACGGGTTAGTCCGCAAAAATGTTAAATTTGAATATAATAATAACATATTTTACCTAAAATAGGTCTACTAATTGTATTTAGGTAAAAAACCTAACTTGTTTTTTTCTATTGCGTTTATTTTAACTGATTGAAGTCTAATTTTAACTATAAGAATTTGGCTTAATAAAAATCAACATATGACATACTTAAAGATAATTTCAAAATAAAAAGATATTTAGGAAGCCTTAACGAAACTTCCATTAAACCAAACTAATAAATAGAAAAAATAAAAACAGAAAGCCCAAAGAATAATAATAATAATATTAATGGTAATAATAATAATAGACGTCACAATATGGCTTTCAAATTTAATTGTAACAAAAATTATTTATGAAAAACTGAAGTCGAATTGATTGATTGATTCAACATTTGATTTTTGGTATATTTACTATTTGCGAAATTATGAACTTTTGGAAAGTCAATCGGGTTAGGTCTTATTTGCCTTCAGAAAAGAAAAAGCCTTTTGTGTACTTTTTAGGGACACCTTGTATCTGCAACCCCTACGAATTGAGTTTTCCTATACCGTACTTTTTTGTTTACAATACCGGCAAATTTCGGAAAATTATTTTAAGAAAAACCAACATTTTATGCAACAATAGAAGAAAAAAAAAACGTTTCCGACAGATATTAATTATTATCCTCCAAGAATCTAGGTAGTTAACCTGGCGTAGCCAATTACGGAGGGAGGGAGAAAAAATAACCCGGGTGCCTCGTTATCACAGAACTTTTCAGTCTCGTAAATATTTACTCAGCGATACAGATCTGCCAAAATATAGGTGCCATTAAGATATCGCGTTCGGGCTCTGTCTAATTCTTTCGAAAATAATGAACGTTTTTGGCTAGTCTGACGGGGCTCAAGTCGACAGGGGGTGATAAATGATCCCGTTTATTTTCGGATTATACAGGGCGTATCGATTTAAACTGGCAAGACTATGACATTCAATGGTACTACGGGAGTGTCAAATTTATTATTTTTAATTTTATAATAACCTACACACCTATGAAAAATGATAATTTAGCATTATTTAAATTTAGTTCAACTTTTTATATATACAATATAAAATATTGCAAGGATTAAATAGTTATTTTTATAAAGTCAATTTTTAAATTTAAAAACATTTCAAAGTAAACACAAAATTTTGTATTAAGTAAAAATAATTATAATCTTTAAAAAAATGTGTTAATTGTTGTTTCAATGTTGTCAATTTTGGATGTGCCAAACTTTTTTAGAGATACTTAATAATGCGTATGTCGCTGGGCGATTATTTGGATATACCAATCGATTTTTAAAACATGTACTACCGTTTTTAGAGTTTATAGTTTTGTTAGTTTGGTTAGCCTCAAACATATATATGTACGTATATACAAGGTGTTTCATAATAAGTTTTTGATCTTTAAGATATAATCTATAATCTACCTATTTATCTATCTATCTAATCTATAATATATGATTTTATTGATATAAAATTTATTTCTTAAAATCATCCAAAGAATCACACGCTTGATATGAATCACCCCGTATACGTTCATAAAGATTGTTTTAATTATTCCAGTTTTCTAATAATAAATAAGTGAGCTTTGAACCTTCGAATATTACAATTACTTTTCAATAATTATTTTAAAAATGTGACGCTCCGTCTATCGACAAAACTTAAGCACTTGTAGGGCTAAGTATTATACAAGTTTTTGTTGAAAATTTTCAAAATGCTAACTACTGTTTATAGGGTCCCGTATCGAGAAATGTTCATCAATGAAACCGAACGGCCTTGCGGTGCGATGCGATCCGTTCCGGGAAAGGCACTTTTATAAATAATAACTGTTGCGAATACGGCGAGTTTTAAGAAAAACAAAATCTTGGTTTTATTTAGCTTTAAGAGGAAAAATGGTCGGGACGTGTCCCCAAGACAATACGATGCCGCAAGCCGTAAACAAATTGCCTATATAAAATAACGATGCAGATTTTGATGAGAAACAAAATCGGTGTGTCAAGCAAGAGCGAAACAAAATGTTACCCATTGGTTTTTGTTGTTTGGTGAGTTATTTTTATTACAAATTATTTTATTACCACCAGTGGTTAAAAAAACACAATTTTAAAACCGATCAAGTAAACCAGTAGTACTTGTAGTACCTTTTTTATAGTAGACAGATTTTAGTTGTATTTATGTAATATCAGAACTAATATGAGTTCAGGGTAATAAATAACATTTTTCAAAATGTATGTACCGTGCAATTTTATTACCTCAACCATTTTTTTTCCATATTATACCCAAAACAGAGACAGATCAGTTAGATTAGCAACAATTACACTTCAATGGCGAATCAAAGAGAGAATTTTATTATAAGTAGCGTTTGTATTTCGATTTCAAATGTTATACTCGAATAATCAATCGGTTACGAGGTTTATTCAGAAATTGCTAATAAAAGGCAACGAAAGTTTTTATTTATGGAACCATTTTAGATCTTGACCTTCGCGTCGACCAGTTTCGAACCTGTCGTCGCTTTCGAACCTGTCGTCCTCTCCCGCAACCTCCTGGAAGAAGTCGGTATCGAAGAACCGATCGAGATCGAAAAGAGTCTCCAAACCGAACGTTATCCCACCAGAGCGTGCTTTCACAAATACGTAATAATGAGGGAGACCAGATTCCCGCCCATGACCAGCGAGACCTGGAAGGAATACGAGGTGGTATTCGACGCTCCGGCTCCAAAATTTGAAGACGCGTCTCACTCTCACAAAGAAACTACCGAGTTCAACCTCACGGACCTCGATACCGGCGAGGTTAGGTTGGCTAGATTCGTGACCATATTTAAAAATTCGTCCGTCGTCGTGCGGAAACATACGGAAACTCACTGCGGTGAAGGGAAGTTCTTGGTCAAGAGGTACTCGAGCTGGGACGCCGGCAAACGGGTCACCATCAAGCTGACGGACAAGGTCGATGAAGACGTGAGAGAATTCGACGGGTTCCTCGGTAATACGGAGTCGCGTGCTAAAACCGACCCCAAGGATCGAACGGAGGGGCGGCTACATCGAAAAGGGAAGAGCAAACGTTTCGACGAATCCGAATTTGACTACGACGACGACGACCGAGACTTGCCCAAGTCGCTGAACGTGGGTAAAAGCAAAAGTAAATCAGACGGATGGGATACCCGGAGGAATCGTCCCGGAACCGATCGCCTAGGCGAATCGGCACCCCTGAATCCGGAGGACGACGCGAAAGGGTGCTCGGGGGCGGCGAAGGTGTTATTCCAGCTTTTTCGTTTTCCCTGCGGCTTGGATTTCGACGAGAGCGGTAAAATTAACGTGAAGGGAGGCTACGTCGTCAGCAAAAAGGTGATGGTGGAGGACGAGAACGGCGGAATCGTAGAGAAGGACAAGCACCTGTTCGCGATACGCGAGGATTCCAACATCGAGCTGTCGATGGACGGCGAAGGCCTCCGAGCTCTCGCGACTTAAATATGCCACACAGGGTTAATTTTATTTTTTTTCCCTAAGGGTGCAAAATAAACTGTATACACTACTTCCCCGGTATTGACCGTGTGTTTGACATTTATTTATTCCGGACCCGTACTCATGATATTTGACTATGTTTTGGTTCATTGAGGAACATTTGAACTTATAAAACTTTGACTTTGAAGAAAGGGGATGGTTACGACGGTTCGAGAAAATAACAAAAAAAAAGATGAGTGAGCGACAATTCGCAAAAGAAATAGACATCAAAAAATTTTCAAATTGCAGACATTCCAGGGACAACCCGTATTAGGTGGAGAGCAATTTGTTTTATTCAACTTTTTCCCTTTCTAGAGGGAGTGGTAACGAAGGGCCGAACAGAGGATTATTGTTGGCTTTTCTCGCACTTAAAAAAAATCAAAATGGTTGATGCCGTTTCAATTCAAAAACGTCACAAAACAAGAAATACAAAAAATGTGGAGCCATGGATGATGCATTTTTTTTCAAATGAAAAGCCTAATTTTTCAAACAATTTTTGAAAAATATAGATTCACATGAATTAAAACAGACTATAAACACATCATTGCATTGCTTTGCAAGGGCCGGATTTAATAGAAAAAGGCAAAATTATAACTGGTAAAACATTTTTTAAATAGAAAGTCTAATATTAATATATTTATTAATATAATATAGAAATATATTTTATTATTAAAAAGAAACAACAGTTATCAAGTACGGGTATGCAAGTACCTGCCTTTTTGAGTGGACCATTTTAAAATTGTTCAACCAATTGAAGAAAGTCAAAATCGAGACCTCCACTTTACCATATTATTCTTATACAGGGATTTTCGTAATAAAATGCCGATCTTTAAGAGTGTGATTCCTTAAGATGATTTGCATGACACTCAATATTTTAATTCGGTAAAAAGAAATAAATTATGATTTTAAAGAGGCAATTTATTTTTCAAAGAAGCGGTGGGGTACAAACTTTTATGCTTACCCGGACGCCATTGGCGAAAGTAGAATAATAATTTTTACTCAAAAAATAAAATGTTTTATGCATGCACGAAACAATCAACAAAATTTTTAAAGCAGTTTTTTAAAAATACATTTCTTAACTACATCGATAAAATCTTTTTTTCTTAAAGTCCTAAGGATCACCATCTTATTGCTCGAATATAACAATAAGATTCATAAGCGTAAGAAAGAGCTATATAAAACAGCATTTTTTAAAATCCTTTTTTTAACATTTAATTTTTCTTAATTTAATTTAATTTAAATATTTGCATTATTTAGTTTTTGTTAGCTTTTTCTGGTAATTGTTCAAACTTGCCTCATATTATACTCCGTTAAACCCGAGATTCGAACGGCATATTTCGGAAACTGATAAAGATCCACTACTTACTTCGTAGGGAGCGAGGGTCGCAATTTCTGACATCGCGCACTGAAAACAAATTAATCAGTCTTACGTCGCAACGTACACATTTTGCCGCAAATTATTGCCTCCGATAAATAAACCTAAAACACCTGATAAAAGGCGATGTTAATAACGAAAAAACGCCACGAGCGAGGCAACAAATTTAAAAGCCATTTCGTGAAAATATCGGAGACACCCCATTAATTAAAGCGCTGTTCCGTTTTTTTTTTAAATTCATTTTCGCTGCCCCACGGGCAGGTGCTCCAGGTCGCGTTTACTGTTGCTGTTGGTCTTATTAAACGTTTTTTTTTTTGACGAAACTTTAATATTTTTAGACGCGAGAGTTCCAGGTGGCGTGTGTGAATTAGTGCGGTCGTATTATTTTGGAAAGAATTCTTCATTTAATAATCTAAACTAAGTATAAAAAACATTTTTCTTTCCCTGCTGCATATACGGTCAAATACGTAGTAACTAAAACTACTTTTATTGATCACAATTAAGTACAGTATACAATGCTATAGATAATTCTCCATTTATATTCTGTTAGTGGTAAAGTCATGGGCACCATTGTACGAGGGCAGCGCCAAAATTGCCCGGCCTGAATATGAAAGAAAGAAAGTAGAGTAACAATTTTTTAATATTTTTAAATATAATCCCCCTTAACTATAATACACTTATTACATCTCTTTAAAACAATATTCTTTTGGTTTGTCTGCAAAATAAGCTAAAACAGCCTCTTTTAACTCAACTTCGTCGTTAAACCGCCGTCCAAGTAAGTCCTTTTTCAAATATCGAAACAAATAATAGTCGCTGGGGACCATATCTGGACTATAGGGAGGATGATTTTTCTGCTGGAACCCACACTCTAAAATGGCAGCTTGTGCAACACTACCAGTATGGACAGGTGCATTATCGGCAAAAGACGTCAGTTTTCCTCGATGTTTTACACGTATGCAGTCTCGCAATTTATGTAATAATGTTGCGTAATATTTAGCATTGACAGTGGTATTAGTTCCTTTAAAATCTATGAAAACATTCCTTCACAATCCCAAAAGATCGTGGCGGTCACCTTTTTTATTGACTGGCAGACTCTGAATTTTCTTAGATGTGCTTCACCCTTACGACGACACTCCATTGATTTTTTTTTTCGATAGAGGGTCATAATAGAGAGCCATCCCGTCACAATAGTTTCTATCACAGGCTTCGGCTCCGACCCACAGAGTTCCAAAAAAGACCGCGCACACTCGACACGGCGTAGTTTTTGAATAGCCGAAAGGTTTTTAAGAACCCATCTTGCACTAACCTTATGCATACCTAAATGATCATGCAGGATCGCAATATTTTCCGTTATAACCTCCACTGGTCGACCAGTTCTTGAATCATCTTAAAGGGACTCCTGCCCCATTCGAAAACGTTTTGCCCATTCTTTCACTACAGAATACGAAGGAGAACTTTGGCCGTACACACCATCCAGCTTTTCTTTAATAATTTTAGGCGCTAACCCTTCTTTTGTCAAAAACTTTCTAACTGCTCTTGCTCTGCAATTTGCTTTATTTGCGACATTTCTTCGGACACGTCTTCTTTAAGATGCTGTCAATAAAAAACTATTTGACGCAAGACTTCAATTTTTTTTCGCAGCCTACTGAGATATACACTTAAAAGAAGACAAAGTTTTACCGTGATATTCGTGCTGCATCTATGTCAGGCCGGGAAATTTTGGCGCTAACCTCGTAAATGGACATGTCTTGAGTGACTATCACGCTAATCTAATTACGGTTGAATATTTGACAACTATTTCTATAGATTTTAAAATATTTTAATCGTTCTTTCATATTGGTCCTTCAATTATTTCTTGATTCCTAAACTAGATTTCAAACCGAATCCAAAATATATTTTCTTTAGAAGTGTATAAAATCGCAATTTCAGGTTTGAATTTAAAAAAGGTCAGTCGAGGCTAGTTTGACCAAAATTACCGTGAGTAGTAAGGAATTGCTTTTTTATAGTCTTGCAGAGTGTTAAAAAATCAACAAAAGCAGCTAAAAGAAGGGGAAATTTTTAATTAAATCAAGAACAAGCTATCAAATTGAAGAAAGATTCATTGAAAATAATAAATACATATACGTACATATTCGATATTTACATCACAGCAAATTCAGATCTCTCTCAAATTCGATCGAAAGTATCCATCGTTAGTTGATAAATTGTTGAGAAATTCTTAATTGCAATTAAAAAAAACAGTTATCGGTTATGCAGGCACCTGTCTTTTTGAGTGGACCCTTTTGAATTTGTTCAAGAAATTGAGAAACCTTGACACCCTGTACAAATAATAAACAATTTTTACTTCATTCAATGTGTGATAATATTGTCTGATATATACAGGGATTTTCATAACAAAATGCTGATTCTTAAAGGTGATTCCTTAAATGATTTGAAGAAGAAACAAGGAGTGAGCACTGAACGTTTTAATCAATATACCTTTTCTGGCGGTTTTTTCTCAGTGTCCCAAAGACTGCTGCAAAATTTCTTAAAGATTAAGTAAATTAAAGTTAAAAATAGTTTTAAAGACTTTGACATTGATATTCTCATTCTCATTTTGCTTGCATTTAAAAAAATTTTTTACTAGTATAAGGATATACAAGTAAAATTGAAAATTTTTTTAAAAAATTTGAAGAGATTTGCTGAATTTATCTCGGCGGTTAACCCCAAAATGAAAAATTTCATATTTTTACAGTAAAATTGTCAGGTGCTTTATATACGAAAAAAAAAATCAATGAGCCGACAAAAATATTTAAATTTTTTATATGAAAATTGAAACGCAACCATTAATATTTCCGGTATACTTTACCTAAACATGGCGACTCACCGAGAAAGGATCCTGCAACAAAAATAAAAAGTATAAACAAAATTCAAATAGAAACAGGCCAAACTATAAAATCCACCCATCACAAAGTTAAAGCCAAACGCATAAAACTCTCTAGGGACCAGTTCGGGTGCATAATAACAGATGTTTAAACGAACGAAACGAATACATTTGGGAATTTGCCTATTGCACCACCAACATCCATTTTTTTTTCATAGAGGTGAGCCTTTAACATATATTCTAAACTCGTAACGGTGATCCATAAAGATTTTCTAGTTGTCACAGGAATCTCTTTTAAAAAAAATTTTTTTCTTCCAATTACACTTTTGGTGGACAACCAGCATAAAGATCTTGGTCACATAAGCAGATTTACTTAGTTATGATATAATCTTCTCATTTGTTCGTCGATAACAATAGCAAAAGTAACGATACCATTGATGATAAAGATATTCGGATAATCCAAAATCTGTATTGGAATCAAACAGCTCGAATCAGACTGGAGGGGGAGGCTGTTATAGGGGAGTTTGAAATACGCCAAGGATGCATCCTGTCACCCATATTGTTTAACTTGTATGTGCAAAGCATATTCACCGATGCTTTGGATAAAATTGACTATGGAATTAAAGTAAATGGCGTTCCAATCACTAATTATGCCGATGACACTGTCATAATTGCTCCTAGCATCTCGAAAACTAAACATTAGACAGTCAGCAAAGAAATCAACTATATATATTAATGACGAAATCCATAGAGCAGAGAGGTTAAATCATTTGATTATTTGCTATAGACGATGCATGGGATCCACAACAAGAAATAAAATGCCGGATCCAACAGGCAGGACTAGCATTTATTAAGTTTAAATCCTTCCTCTGTAATCAGCCTCTTTCGTTTAAGGTCCGTTATAGGTCGATATTACTTTATGGTATGGAAACCTGGACTCTAAAAACATCGTCCATCAATAGGCTAGAGGCATTTGAAATGTAGTAACTAAGGAGAATGATCCGAATTTCATGTGTGGATCGTGTTCGCAATGGGAGATTCTCAGAAAAGCTGGTGCAAAGGCAGAGACAGCTTTCTGAAGTAATTAAAAGACGTACAATTGGCTACTTCGACCACATACTCAGGGGGGCAAAGTATAAAATCTCGCAGTTAAGCCCACAAGGAAAGATTGAGGGCAGGAGAGGTGTCGGTCGTAAGCAGATTTCCTGGTTGCGTAATATAAAACAGGTATAAATAACACTGCTGAGCTTTGTCACGCTGTTATCAGTAGAACCTTCTTTTTGAGATAGTCGCCCACGTGTAGGGCATGTTAAAGAGAAGAAGAGCAATAGCTAAAATTAAATTGGAATTATTGATATACGAAGGGCTTTCTTTCAGTTCTGCACATTCAAGATATGTACGTTCCTTTCGAGCTTCTATTATTTTTTCTGCGTTCTCTTGCTTTGTCCCTTTCATACAGTTCTTATCAATGCGTTATAACTTTCCCTCTTAAGGAATAGAGAATGTCATTTTTCTTTTCCCTCCAGCCATTCTGTTCTGACTACTGTCATTGTGCTCTCATCTTATAGACGTTCTTGTAATTCAACTTCTATGTTGCGAATTGTCCGAAACGCTAAATTATGTTCATAAAAACGAACAACAAGAATAGACTTTTCTAGAATGGTGGGTGCGCCATTTGATCGTGATATTTTTATCTATGTTATGAGGTATTTGGGAAATGTGTTCCTGATAAACTTTATCCACAGACCACCGTGCATTATATATAATAGCACTAGCTCGATCTAGGCCAAGGCTCGGCAACAAGTTTGTCTTTAAATAGCATTAGGCATTACAAAAAAACACATATTTTTTATAACTTTATTTTGTTGGTGTCATACATAATGATACACATAATTTAGTGTGAAAATTGGGTGTCTATATTTTTAGGTAATTTATTACAATTGATAATGATTCTTTCAATAGTAGATGGGATTTTAAAATGTCGTTCAATATTACTTTTCTTGGGAATCACAACACTATTATTATACAACAAACAAATACAATTATTCTCTTTGTAATCAACGAAACAATGTAGATGTTCCCATTGATCGTTAAAATTATATGCTTTTTTTTCTTTTACGTTTATCCATGGAGTGTTTTGAAAGAAAAGGATTATTTCAGACTACTTAGTAGTCTAAGCGTCGTCTATTCGAAATACGATCACACACTAACAAAAAATACGTGCGTGTTATTAGATACGCTCAAAGTTAGCAAACTGCTAATCTATGCATAATCCTAAAATTAGTACAGCGAGGAGGCATTAAAAACCGATCTAGGTGCTTCCCATGGCGCTACGTCGCGTCGCCCCCAATCAGTCCCATTCGCGGGCCATATCGTCATAGATAATCGCGAGTTTATGGCTCCGCTTATGCCATACGCACGTCTCGCGGTCGTCCTAATTAGCGTGTAGGTGTCAAATACAAGGGATGCGACAAAGCGTATTACCATATTTATACCCATCGTCCCCTTAGACAGGAAGTGCGGCGTGGTCACGGGTGCAAGGAGGGATGGCTTCGCCATAGATATACATATACATACGCGACGTGCCTCGTAAACGAGACGACGGGGGTGTGGGTGACGGTATATACAAGGGCCTAATTGGCGGCCCGGCATAATTCAGACGGGTCGTTCTTGTTCTTTCTTTGTCGAATCGGGTGGTGGTGGTGTGTCGTCGTCCTCGTCGCACCGGCGCCAAGGCAGGGACCCCGCGTCACACCCACTCGCCGCGGCGTTAATAAATCGTTGGTCAGATTTTGGTCGTAAATTTTTTTTCTGCGGCCGGTGGGCAACGGGTGGGTACAAGGTAGAAAAACCGAGCCCGGGACGCGTAGGTATCCCGTACGTGGTATTCCGTTGAGATAATAGGAGGACAATACGGGATATGATAAATGGGCGTCTGCTGCGGCGCGACGCGCCAGTAAGGGTAAAATTGCTCGATTTTTTGTTTTTTGGAAAATTAAAATAAAAAATACTTTTTTGTAGGTTCATTTGAAAAGAAAAATGTTTAAATTGCAATATTCTTCGGCCTGCAACTATATCATTTTTGAGAGAAAATACCAAACATTCCGAAAAAGGCCAGAAATTTTAGACCATGGGTATTTTGTGCAAGTCGCAACCCATTTCAGGTGTGACTGTAAGTTCACTGAGATTAGTCACATATTTTGTGTATTTTTCATATTTGCCATTTGAACATTTTATTTTCAATATACAGGCTGCCCAAGATAACTTTTTAAAATTGAATATGTACTAATATCTCCCATATATTTTGAAATATCTTCTTATAGTCATTTTATAATCTGCCCCCAACACTTAAGTCAGCATCATTCAAGTGCTATATTTTATTAAAAGAGGGAAAAAGTACCTTCAGCTCTCTTTAGGTCTTTGTTAATTTAAGTGTAGCCTGTGGATGGAGGAGAAATTTACGGTTATTAAATTCGAGCATTTCTAGCTAAAGTAGTGTTTTTTTTTGTTTTATGGGTTGTGCAATAAAAAAATCATTATTGGAATGAAGAAAAAGATTACCAACATGATACATATATGCGTTTACGTCAAAATGAAATATTCCAATTGGTTACAAAAAGACACAATTCACCAAGTCTAATTCTTCTTTCTCAAGAGCGGTGCAAACAATCTAATTTTTGCGATGTTGCGAAGCTGAACACTTCCTCAAGGCATGGTCATTGAAGGATTAGCATTGATTACACTTAATATAATTAAAGTCCACTTTGATACTTTTTATAATGGAAACTAGGCACTCACAGAAAGTAAAATTGGGGAAGTCTTTAATCGTCGCTAAGAAACAATATTTTTAAATTTACAATCAGAGGCGAACTCGTGTCTAAAACATTCCTTCCGCGTTATCATACATTATTTCTCTTAACTGATTACTTTGCTTTTTATATTTTCTGCATCTGCAAGTCCAATAATTTTTAGGCACCAGAACATATATTTTTTATTTTACCGGTGAGCACAGGGCTACCCTCAAGTTCCCCCTACAGTCCAAAAGAAGTCGCCGTTAGCGACAAGGTTTAATTAACCATTTACATACGCATTTTAATTTTTAAATAAAACGACCATTTATCTGTGCGATAAGAAGAACGGAACACGGGCCTCGCGTATAAAAAAATTAAAAAAAAAACGGTCGATGGAATATCGACACCTAATTTACCGCAGCGGCGGTCGCGCTCCCGTATTCATGAAAACGGCGTAAACATGGAAAAGGAAGAACGACTATCGCGCATAAATCAGGACATGCATTAAAATGATACGTTTATAATGGCCGGGACCGGCGCATTGATATCTCGATAAACCTGCTTTTGCGTGGATAAAAAAAATTGTATGTTCTTAATTAATCCGCCGCGTAGAGAACGGGCAAGCTTTTTGACCTCGATTAGCCTGTTAATAAACCCGCAATCGATATAGGTGCAAGGGTGTAAATGAAGTGTTTTAGAAATTCGAACGAAATATAATAATAATAATAATAATAATAATAATAATAATAATAAGATTGCTTTCGAAAAATCGTAGCTGGGCGGGGCAAGTTGGTATCGCGTAGCTTTATATTTTAGTAGCTGCTTAACGGTTTCTTCCCCTAGAAAGACGCATTGCTTTTCTATCGTGCTCCCGCGGACCACTATGGAACTTTCGCAAAATCGATGTCATTTTGTTGTGCACGCACCCTGTATAAAGTGTCTTTCACATCTCGTCAAAGTTGGGGCACACTTTGGTAAATACAAAAATTTGCATAAATAATAGCGATTTCCATCGATATTTTTTCAAATATCTCGCGCACCCTCTATGACAGACGAAACTTGAAACTCTCTCTCGATACCGTTTAAAGCAAATTATCCCATGTTTTATAGTTTTTCATTTACGGTTAATAATTTACCCACGAAAACGACAATTTTCGGGATCTTTTTTTTACCCAAAATCGATATACACTGTACATAATCCAAAAAATGACCGAAGGAAAAGTT